GTGCAACTCAAGAACAAGGCGACGGGAGAGTGGGTGGTGTGTCAGGATCTCTTTGTGGACAAGGTGCAGAGCGAGTTGTTGTATCTCGGAGAGACATATCTACAAGTATGGGAGAGGAGAAGGGAGCCAAAGGGCAAGGGAAAAGCAGCGGCATCATGACCCCACACAAGTCATGAGCACAACTAATAGGCACAATTGTAATATCACGGTTTATGAGACAAAATTGGTCTTGCTTGGGCGACAAACGACAGCCCTCAAAGCTCGCTCTTGTGATTGTAGCTCTCGCCGAAATCCGCTATTGGGCGAGCCACGTCCTGGCCGCTCGCAGCTACCTAGTAATACACCATCCATCCCTGGGCGAAGCCTGATATCATCATCGACCGGCCTCGCCCTTTGTATCCATACAGCCGTTGGTTTCCCTCATGTCATCCAATCGTCCCGTCCCAACCGCCAACCCTGATCCTCATGAACACGTTATGAGCAGCCCCACCCAGAAGAACTCTCCAACACCGCCAACAAAGTTGTCATTCGTAAAGACAATGAAACACAAACAAAGTAAGTAGTTAAAAAACAAAGGCGACTCGGTCGATAAATCCCGGAACGTGGAAAACGACTTGTCGAAAATACAGTACACAGGTTGGCGGTTAGGGACTTTAACGCCGGACGCGCTACGACTAGGATTGCTCTGAGGGCTGCTTCGACACGCCACCTGTGTGACGCTTATCGTGGTGATGGTGCTGTCCCGCCTTTTCGCGGCGCTGCTCCTCGATAGCCGTTCGTTGCTGGATACTAGAGTCATGGCTCTTGAATTCCACTCGAGTGTTGGGAGGGAAGTTGAGGACGTGCTTCATGGTCTCACTGTTCAAGAGTCAGTCTCAGAATACTTCCACTGGCTTGTAACAAGACTTACCGAATCTTAATGACGCGGCCACCATCCGTTCGGGTCCAGATGCTCAGAATGTCCTCTCCATTCCTTACACTGAGCACGGCACCACAAACGTCCTCTCCAGCGTCACCAAACTGATCCCCAATGAGGGAGAGCATGAGGTCTTCCCAGTACCGGTCGGCCACGCCCTTCTTCATCCGAACAACCCACTTGCCACCCTTTTTGTTCACATCGTCCTCCCAGATGGGCCGGACGCCCTTCTTGAAGAGATGGAAGTCCGACACGACCGGAAGCGAGGAGGGGCGCTTCAGGTAGGAAAAGATCTCCCAAAACTCCTCCACCGTCCGCACAGTAGCAATCTCGTGCAGGGTCTTCTCGTATTCGATGAAGCCGTGGGCCTTGGAAATCGGGGGTCGGTACCAGAAAGTCCAGGGCTCCATGAGCTGGTGTGATACAGGAGCGGCCGCCGCGGCCCCCTGGGAACCCTCAGAGATGGAGGCCATGCTGGGGGCCTTCCCCACAACCTTTGACAAGTCCTTGGGCTGGCCAGACTTTGCAACCGCGGTGCCCATAGCCGAGTCGAAAGGATTGGCCGAGGACTTGGGTGTTTTCGCAGACCCAAAGGAGGCGAAAGCTCCAGAGCCTAGACCAAAGGCGCTGGAGGCACCGCTGGTGGGGGAGACCAGGCCGCCAGGTGTAGTGTTGAAGGGGTTCTGTTTGCTCGACGACGGGGTATCGCCGCCTTGGCGCTTTGGAAAGGAAGCATTGCGACTGAAGGAATCACCACTGGACCCTTGACCGGGTGTCGAGAGGGAGAGCTTGCCGGAGCTGTTGAAGTGAAAAGTGTTGGTAAGATTCACATGGTATGTAAACAGAAGGGCAATGTAAGGAAACTTACTTTGTGCGGCGGGCCCAGAGGTTATCCATCAGGACTGAATGGGACAGGTTTTGCCTGCAAATTAAGGTAGGGCGGGGAAGTCGCCTGTCGAAGACACCTCAGATATGACGGAAGGAGGGGAAGAGGAAGAGGGCGGATGCGGCGTCGGTTTCTCGGACAGTAAGAGGTTCGTAGACGAAAATGCAGTTCTTGTTGGGGGCGCGAGGCGAGTTGGCGATGTAGTGCCTTTGGAGGTTACACGGTCTCGAGGTCGGATGAGGGGGCGACGATGGATAGCGGGAAGGGCGAGGGGACTAGGGTTGCGTTTGTTTACGATTATTGACTGATGATGAGATCGGAAGTATTTCGGGTATCGATATTGTTCGAGGAGGAGTCGGAGGCGTGTGAATGTTGGCGAGAGGTAGAGGCGGGTTTGTTTTGGAGGAGTTGGTGAAGAGAATCTTTCAGGTTGAGTTTGGGGAATTTTGGTAGGTTCAGGGAACGTTGCGAGAGGGAAAGAATGATGGAGGGCCCGAAGAAATTCTGGCAGCCCACCCACGTACTAAGGTAAAAAATCGAGACGAGTCGCGAAGTGCAGAGTTGGGGTAGTGAGGGGGTACCGTCCCACCTAGATTCAGCTAGAGAATACTTTCATGTACTTCCTCCCCTCTGGAGAAGCCCTGAGCTCGCTGAAAACCCTCGCCGTAAGTGGTCGCGGATGGCCTGTAGCGGCGCGGCCTGGCTCCACTAGACCACCCCCCAACCCCCAGGCACTCGGGGGACCTTACCCATGGCCCTGGCGTCAGAGGCATCCATGGACTCACCAGGGCGGCAGTGACACAATCGGAGCGCCGGGGTATACCTCCTCTAGCGCCTGAGGACACTCTCTAGCCGCCTTGTGCCTGAGCTTCTGGAAACATTTGATACGACACCTGTCGCACGAGATCTGCACAGCTAGGAAGAAAAAAGCAAATCCTCTCTCGTGCAAGTGAACCGGTCAATTCCGCTGCGTTGCAGGTTGCACGCTGGCATGTCGTTAGAGCCAGAGTGCCCCTGGTGCGTACCAAGACAAAATCAGCCGTCACTGACGTCTGTGGTGTCGTAGAAACCCCCGTCCATGGGGAAGCGTGGCGGGGCTGCCGGGAGTCTTGGTATCAGGCATCTCGTTCATGATTCTACCGGGAGCCAGCTCAGTGCATATCCCGGGGCTTGTCACATACATTAGCTCTAATAGGAGACTACAAATCCGAGATACGACGGTAAAGCCACCTCCATTCTCCTCTTACGGTTTTCGGCGTTGACTCACCCGGCCTTACCCCCGGCTCCGAGTTGTGAGACCCGACCAGACAGATCAAGAACCCCTGTCCGACCAGAACGAATGATCATGGGCCAATTAACCGACCAGGCAACAATTGCGTGCCAATACCTCCCATGCTTAAGGGGTCCTCAACTGGCAACATGATCTCGAGATAACCAATGCCTCGTCGTCAGCTTAATTTGCACTCCCGCATCAATCTTTCCGTAACCACCGTGACAGGCTCCTCGATAAGGCTTAGCGCTGAACCCCGATCCACGGAGCTGGGAGCAATTTCCAATGCTTGTGCAAGAGGCCTTTTTGTGCCAAAACTCCATCCGCAGACATGAACTATGAGGAAGAAAGTGTAGCCGAGGGACAGCATCAGCTCATGAGACGACAAAGTTTCTCCAATTGGCCCAATCAAAGGCACAGCTTCATGCAGGAACGCTTTCTTCAAAGTGCACTTGGGGGTCTCAGGTTTTGTCTCGAAATACCGCGCCACAGACCTCCGTGATTCAGTGGCTGTGCTCCGGGACTTGGCCCAGCCACCCGGCCCCGCTCCAGACTTCGAGACCGAATTTCTTATCGGTTCTTATCGCAACTCCAAAGAAAAAAAAAGTATCCCCAGCCAAGCTCAGCGACACTCACCACCACCAAAATCCAGCCTCCAGCCACGCCAAACCATTCCACGCATTTCTCCTTGTCGTCGCGATGGGTGTGGTACGAACAAAAACCATCAAGAACAAGCACGCGGGCGGCGGCCCCTCGAGCAAGTCCTCCAAGGACATCGCCCCAAAGTCCAAGAAGCCCAAGGGCACGCCGCCGTCCAAGCAGGTCAAGGACAAGGGTCGCGAGGCGCTCCTCCGGAAGCTCAAGAACCCCAAGAAGCGCACCTACACCGATGAGCAGCTCGGCATTCCCACGCTCAACAAGATCACTCCCGTGGGCGTCGTCAAGCCCAGGGGCAAGAAGAAGGGCAAGGTCTTTGTCGATGACAGGGTATGAGCGCCTCATGTATTCCCAATCGCGAGGCGATTCCAATGCTGACTTTTACTTTGCAGGAGAGCATGAGCACGATCCTGTCCCTCGTCCAGGCGGAGAAGAACGGCCAGATCGAGTCCAAGATGATCAAGGCACGACAGATGGAGGAGATCCGCGAGGCGCGCAAGGTTGAGCAGGCGAAGAAGGAGCAGGACAAGAAGAACAAGCTCGAAGATGCCAAGGACGCCCTCCGAAAGAAGCGAAAGCGCAAGGGCGCCGACGAGGAGGAGAGCCTCAAGGAATACACCTCTGCAGGCACCAAGGCCGGCAAGGCCAAGACCAAGAAGCGGGTTTCTTTCGCATAAGGCCGCAGGAATGAAAGGCAATGGGGGAAAATCTGGAGTTGTTGCATGGCTTGGCGCTAGGAGTTTGATGGACTGGGGTTTGGTCCCTCTGGTGGTATTCGTTGATTTGGTATAAAGACCCAAGACAGCATCTAAACCAGGCTGTTACTGCAGGCATATTCGGCCAATTGAGTAAAACGGTCAAATTATGGCATCATGTGCCGTCTATGTGCGTGTATGCCATGCGTCTAGTATACAAGTCTATCTATGAACCTCGAGCATAACCAAGACTCCTCTAACGTCAGATCTCATGGCCTGCAGAAGAGCTGCTCTACCCGTCCTAATCTTCCACAATCAACATCTTGCGGCGCATTGGGCTATAGCCATGTCCCTGTGTCAAATCAGCATCAGATGCCTCCTCGGGCTTCAGGCTGTCAAGATCACACTTGAAAGCCAAGTGGTTCAAGAAGTTTGCGACCTGGGACAATGTTAGCTCAAGAAGAGATGGCCAATCCTACACGAGACCTACCGGCTTGGGGAACCATCGACCGCCACCCATCTCAAACCAGCAGAGATGTCCACCGAGCGTTGTTGTAAGGAGAATAGTATTGGGGTTCTGCTGGAACTCTTCAAATGGAATGGCTTCCTTAACGGCAATCTATCGACTGTAAGCAGGAGTAAGTGACGAGTCAAGTATAGGTCTTACAGGATCGTCGACAGAGTTGATGGCCAGGAAAGGGATCTTGATGGATAGAATGGCATCGGTCGATGAGGCATCTCGGTAGTATGCATACTCAGTGGGATATCCCCAGATAGGGCACCTAGAAAGGTCAATCTCAACCCAAGAAGTGTTGTTCAATAACTTACTGGATCAAGCGATCGAACTCGTTCAGGTATGTGATGTCCAGGACAGCCTCAACATCAACCTTGCTATGCTGTTCCAGCGCATCCCGATGTCTTCGTGCAAGTTCCTTCAAAGACGCTACATGTATTGTTAGCAGGGCTCCAGATTAACGGAGCAAAATAAACTTACATCCCATAACTCGCAGATAAACCTCCTTGCCCATATAGCTGTTCTGGAGAATCTTGCTCGAGACCTCGAGGTTGAAGGGGTTAGAGCACGCAATGGCTCCTTTCAGGACACAATTCGAGCCCTCCTCGCCACAGTACTATATCATTTTCCGTCAGACTCGAATCAAACCATGGACCATTTTTATGACTTGCGTTTGTGAGCATGTTAGCGCCCAGAGAAAATCCAATGCCGAACAACGGACGGTTGGGAAACTTTTCCGTCAACCATTTCACTGTCTAAGTACCTGTCAGTCAGACGGATCCATATTCCTCGTATCTGGTCATCCTTACTTGACGGATGTCCCACGTTGCTCTTGCGTTGTACAAAACGCCGCTGGTGATCTTGCTTCGTGCACATCCTCGAAATATAATAAGCTATTTACCCTTAATTTATATTTTTAATATAAGGCTTTATTTAGTTATATTATTTATAATATATAAAGCTCTTTCGGGAAATTAATTAATCGCCTTAGGTTCTTTATTTACTTATAGCTCTCTTATAGGTAATATTTAGAGTTTTTTAATAATATATTATCTTTATTTTTACTTTATTTTACTAATTCTTATAAGATTTATAATATAATTTTTTATATCTATAGGTCCTTATTACTTTATTATACATAGAATATCATAATCTTATTATATATATATTTAATATATAATAATAATAGGTATCTTTTAATTACTTAAGGGTATATATTATAATATTCTTTAGGTTTATATATATATTATAGTAAGATAATATAATATCTTATCCTCCTAATATATAAGTAAGGTTCTATATTAAGAGCCTAATAAGGGTTTTAAATTAATCTATTATATATATACTAAGGGAAAATATTATATTATTATTTTTCTTCGAGATATTTTTTATAATTATAATAGATATAATTAATCTATAATATCTTATAGTAATTAAGGTAGCCTAGTTATATTTATTTATAATTATTATTTATAAAAAAGGGTATTTATTATATTTTTATTATTTTTTATTCCTTTTTTACTAAAATTATTAGAAACTTAGGTATAAAATCGAGGTTCTTATAGATCTTAGTATATTAATTTAGGGTTTATTAGATATATCCTTCTCTTAATAGTTTATTATTAAGAACTTAGGTAATTTCTTTATTATATTTTAAATATTCCTAAATAAAAACCTATTTAAGATTAATTAATTTAATATCTTCTTATAATATCTAGTTAAGGGATATAAAGAATATCCGATTATATATATTTCGTCGTATAGATTATTATACGGGGTAGTTCTATTAATAGGTATATCATATAAGAAGTTAATTTAATAATTATTAGGCTTATTTAATAAGTTCTTTTTCTTAGACTAAGAGTTAATATTATTCTTTTTATTAGGCTATTATTTAGGGTTCTAAGTTATTAGTATAGAATATAATATCTTTATTATCCTTAAGGTAGAAATCTATAGATATATTTATTTTAATAATTCCTCTAATATATCTTATTATAGCGATAATTTATTTAGTATTATTATTTTATAGTAAATTATAGGATAATATAGGGGTAAATTTATTTTTATTATCTTACTAAGTAACTTAATTAACCTATTAGTCTTAATAAGGTCTTTAGCTTTTAGCTATAATAGGGGATAAATAATTACTTTTATAATATCTTTTCTTTTTATAGTTATAATAAGTAATATAGGATTTATCTTATTAGATATTCCTAATATCTATAGGTCTTAGTTAAGTATTATATAAGGTATTTCTTATATTTTTATTATTATTATTCTTTTATCCCTAGTTTTATTTATTACTTTTATCGGGGTAATAAGGATTAAACTAAGAGGCATAGCTTTTATTTCTCTAGGCTATTTTCTCTTAGTATTATTTATATTATTATTTATTAATTTTAATAGCTATTTTAATATATTAATTAAGGTTATTAGGTTTATTTACTTTATATAATTTATCCTTAACTTTTTCTTTAAGTCCTTAATAATAAATCTCTATATAGGCTTTATTATCTTATTTAACCTTAGATATAAGTTATTAGAAAGTTATAAAGTAAGCGATATATAACTTATTCTAAGTTAAGCTATAAAATTTAATAGTAACTTATTATTCCTTATTAATAATTTTAAAGGCTTTTTTAATAGCTATTTTAAAGTTATTTTAATTAGCGAAGATATTAATAATTTCTTAGTCTTAGTTAGATTTATCTTTATTCTCTAAGAAGTCTTTTTAAATAGGTTTAAATTATACTTTAGTAGTTCTATAAAGAAGGGGTATAATAAAAAATACCTTTTTTATATTAATATTAATATATTAAAAAAAAAGCCTAAAATATCTCTTTATCTTAATAAAGAAAGATATAATATTATAAGCTTATCCTATAAATAGTTTAGGTATCGTAGGTCTAATAATTTCTCTTAGATTTTTATTATATTATTATTAAGTAAGTGCTATAGGCTGGCTCTATACCTAACCTTAGAGTTAATTAATTATGCCTCTAAGCTATTAGATTTTAGCTATAAGTTTAGCGATACTTAGTAATATCTTATTATAAGGTAGTAATCCTCTAGCGGAAAATCTAATAAATAAAGTATTTTATTTATTAGAAGATATATTATTTAATAATAGAGATATTATATAATATAATATAGAAATATATTAAATAAGAAGCTATTAATATATAATATCTAGAGTTTTCTAAGGGAATAAACTAGGTATATTAGGTTTATTATTAATAGAGAGTCTTAGTATTACTATATAATAAGGGAATTATATCTTAGTAATAAATTAAGAAGGTCTTAAAGGTAATTAAAGTCTATTAATAGCTTAAGGGCTAAATATCTATCTAAGGCATAATAATTATTATATATATATAAGGGGCCTCGCACTTATAGAAATAAGGTCTAAGTAAGGGCCTTATACTTATAGAAATGAGGTCTCTTATAGTTAGTGCGTTAAGAAGGGAAAATATAGGGAATAAAAATAATATATAATAGGGGATATATTAGGCCGTAATAATAATACTTTAAAGTTATTATTAAGATAATTAAAAATAATCTTAATATTAATAATCTTAAGGCTTTTATTAATTTCTTATAAAGACTTAAGAAATTTTAAATTATTTTTTTTATATTAAATTAAAAATTAATAATATTATAAATAATTTTAGCCTAAGAATTAAAGGTAATTATAATAAAAGAAAATAATTTATTAAGAAAAGCTTAAAGAAAGGTATTATTATTTTAATAAAAAAATAAAAGCTTTTATTTAATAAAATAAACTAAGTATTAATATAATAAATCTTATTAAGTATATTAAGATTTAATAGGGGTAAACTTATTTCTTTTTATATATTAAGCCTTATTTTAATTTCTTAGAATTTTTCTTTAAGGCTAATAAAAATATAAGTTAAGTAATTAAGAAGTATAAGATTTAAGAGCTTAAATTATATAAGAAGTAATAAGATATATTTTTTTATTATTATAATATAATAAATACATAAGTTATTATAAAGGGATATTAATAATAGAGTTAATAAAAAATATTATAACTTAGGCTAAATAACTAAGGAAAATATATATATATATATATATATATAATTATAATAAAGATTATAAGAGTTAAATAAGGAGGTAAAAAGGCTTATTAATCTCAAGGTAAATAAAAAATATTAAAGGGCTAATTATTATTATTTAGAGGTAAAGGATTAATATTAAGAAGTTAGAGATTAAAATCTAAAGATAATAGTAATAAAAGCTTAAGAGGAGACCTAAGAGAAGACCTAGGAAGAGATCTAATTAGGGATAATAAAGTATTTAGCAGTAATAAAATACTTAATAAATCTAGGCTAATTATATAAGGTATATATATATCTAGGGGCCTAAGCTATATCTATATATATAGCTAGGTATAGATAGATAAGTTAATAAATATATAAGTAATATCTTAAACTAAGTAAAATATAATATTATTAATAAGTATAAACTCTAAATAAATATAAATCTAAAGTGAGAAAGATAACTTAAAAGGTAAGCTAATAATAAGAGAGATAATAATAAGGTAATAATAAGGGCAAATAAGAGCATTATAGCCTAAGGAAAAATAAGTAAAGCTAGTATTAATAGCCTTAAGGCTTAAGCTAGCTCTATCTTAACTAGGGCTATTTAATAATATAATATATCTATTCTTAGATAGTTTAACTTAATTACTCTCTTATTATAAGAGTAATCCTAATATAAAATAAACTTATATAAGCCCTAATATAAGGCATATAGTCCCTAGATAAAATAATAAGTAACTCTTAAAATAAAAGAGGATCTTAATATAAAATAAAAGTTTTTTAATAAGATAAGATATAGCTCTTAATAATATAATTAAAATATTATTATAAGATAAGAATTAACTCTTAGCATAAGAGAAAGCCCTAATATAAGATATAAGTAGCTCCTAATATAAGAGAGGGGTCTTATTATAAGATAAGTAACCTCTAGCATAAGAGAAATAGTCCTAGCATAGGATAAGAGGCTATTCCCGGTATAAAAAAATAATTCCTAATATAAAATAAAAGACTTAGATATTAGGCATAGATATAAGCTCTTAGATAAAAAAAAGAAACCCCTTAGAATAAGGGATATAAAGACTCCTTAGAATAAGAAAAGATATTACTCTTAGTATCTTAATATAGAGAATCTAGAGTGCTCCTAGTAATAAGAGAAGAGCTAATCCTAATATAGGAGAAAGAAAAAGCCCTAAAATGAGGAAGATATGGGTAAAAGGCGACGTCAGGGTTCTTGCAATAAGGCTCATACTAATTTAATATCTTCAGAGATTTGAGGCAGGCTTTGCGAAATCGAGATGTAAGATACGATGAAATGGATGATGATGAGTGAGATGAGTTTTGTCAAGGTGAACATGTTACATCCTGCAGGCATTGGGTGAAGTCGCGACCACCCCCACCTTGACTGAGTGTAGTTATCAGGCAGCAATCGTAGCTCAGAGGGGGGGAAGAAGTAAATCCTTGTCTTGTAATTACTGGAGCCTTTCTTTTTCATCTCTGCTGTAAAAAACTAATCTAGTGACTTCTTCAACAATTTAATCATTCAACTCTTAGATATATATTACCATAATCAAACTTAATACCATGCTATAAACTAGTACTCTTCCCAGTCCGAAGCTATAGCAATATCCGCTATTTGATTCTTTCTGCGTGATTTCCGGGAGCGAAACAGTGGGTGTTCCACGAAACGTTATCGTCTCGGCCTCGTGGGTGGTCTTGCGAGGCATGTCAAACGTGAATGTCGGGGTCGTGCTCGTCTCTTGTTCCGGTTCAGGCACATCAATCGTCTTATTCCGCTCTTTTTGCTCCGACATAATGCTTGAGGGCATGGGCGCAACAGTGAAGCCTTCGTCGCTGCAGATTTCGGAAAAGTTTCGAGGATCTCGTACTCGCTCTGACAGGCCTAATGCGTACAGGCAATATCCACACCTAAAACGAGGTTTGTGAGCGCTTCTTCTCGTCCAAACAACAGAAACTTACGCCTGGCTTGTCGGAACCCATCCAGATACGCAAATACATTCGTAGTAGTCGGCGCCATTTTCGTCGGCACAGTCGCGATCCAGGTCTTCAAATGCACTGCAGATAGAGTCTTGACCGCTGCAGTAATCGTAGGGAGTCAGGCTCGAGGTTGCAGATGCCCGGGCATACAAGCCCACAGCTGTGTTCATGCTGTGATTTGTATTCTCCCTGAGATGACGGAAAACTTGATCTGGGAGCTCCGAGAGGTTTGCAGGAAGTCTTATTAAAGTGGCCTCCAGCTGAACAGATCCTCGACGCTCTTACCTACTTTGGAAGGAGGAGTGTTTCCTATTTCAGATGCTTTGATCCACTTTGGCGCTTGGCCCGGGCAAACGATTGCACCGTCTGACGCTTAATTTGACGACTCCAGTGAAGCTATTGCGGAAATAGGAAGTTGAAATGCCATCAGCAAATGAGCTAGCAGTTTTAATTGGACCCCAAGTCCTGATGGCGACGATCAGCAACGGCCGGTACTGCCAATTTTCTCCGAGGCAGGCCAACAACACATGGGTTGAAAAGCCTGTCATGTCCCACAGGGCCAAAGGTCAAAGCCACCAACTCTTAGCCAACATTCATTTTCAGGCATGGTAGACCTGACGACCGGCCAAGTTGCCGCCATCATTGCCTTTGGCATCGTTGTGGGTAAGTCAACCTCCAGCTTGTTTCTTAGACTTCGACTAACAAATCCTCCAAGCTCGTGTTTGGTGTCCGACAATTGGAACATTTATTCTCAGTGGAGTGCTTCAAGATCGCGAGACGGCAGCTACATGGTAAATCACGCTTTGGTTTTCCCGTTTTGGTTGCTGTTGCTGATATTTCTTTCCTCAACAAGGACCGTTGCGGCAAAACATCTTCAAAGCTCATACTGGCCCCTTGTGCTTCAGTCCGATGCAACAAAGGATCGTGGAGTCCGCAAGCCCGTCGTTATTATCTCACTGCTTCTACCACTTCTCAGCCTGCTGATTGCGGTAGCAGGAGTCGTTACGCCCCTTGGCCTCTACGAGTCCAACGAACCAAAGTCGAAAGCTGTTAGGGCTGACTTTGAATACGTGCGAGATTCAAGCACCTTCTACTCAAGTACATCCACCCGTGATGACAAGCCTTTCACGAGAACATGCACCATCAACTTGTGCTATGTCCCTTGCCCATACACCTCAGATGTTACCGTTATTGAAACCGATGGCACGTCGAGTAATTGCAGCTTGTTTGGAAGCCTTGATCCGAATGTCCCCGATATTCTACGAGACATCTACACCAGCGGCACTCAGTACGAGAGAACCACCATTTCCAACTACTTCGACATTGAGTGGCGCCAGACAACGACTCAGTATGACCGCCAGATAAACAACGGCACACCAATCGCCGCCGGACTCTACCGACGGCTGGAGAACATTGCACTCCTAGATACGGTACGCGCCGTTGAAGGGTTGATTGTTGATGCCAAAGGCGGCCGAATCGGTTTCAGGAATCACACCATCCCATCTGGCTACCCTCTCGGGGTTACGTGGACTGAAGACATCTTGTTCTGGGAGCCCGATGTCGAGTGTGTCGACACCAACACAACATTCGACTTTGAAATGACGACAAGTTCTCAGACGAGCGCCGGTGTCTCGGTTTCTAAATTCCACCTTACCGATAGGGGTGGCTTCGTCAACCTTAACAAGACTGATCCATTGGAAGATCAACGCAACGGGGTAAACCAGCCTGATCTAAAGATGAGAGCGTACCAGGCCGCGTGGGCAACCAATGCCTTTTCCATGCTGTTCATGAATGTCTCGAATGCTGGGAGCGCAAAGGATGACACTGAGCCTTTCGAATACATCAACTCGAAAATCGGAAAGGAATTCAAGTTACCGAGTCTGGATTTTGATGCGAACTACCTGACACTCGGTCTCACCAACAACTTTGGTGACCACCTTGGAGTGAGGGCGACTAGCGGCCCCAGTGATTTATACAAGAATCCCTGGAATATTACTAATGAACACTTCATAGCCATAAGTAAGACTTGTTTATCGGCTTGACAGGCAACGCTAACAGCCTTCAGGGGACCTATGTGAAGGAACAAAACTCGACATGTTCCCCAAACTGAACAACACCTTCGTCATGTGTAACCTCATGAGAGGCATCCCGCAGCGAGTCGGTGATGGTCCGGAGAACGTATTCGACGACCAAAGTCAATGGTCGTCTTCGTTGTACGCCTGTGCTTCAGCTGTCAAGGCCACCGTCAAGACTGTCACTTTTTTCTACAACGGCACAGAAGCGAGGTCAGGTAACATCGAAGTCAAGGAGATCAAGGACAAGGAGTACGCTGCAGAGGATGACATGCCGCTGTGGGGTGTGGAGGATTCTCCGCTTGAGCTGGACGAGTTCCCGCCCATCTGGGGCCTCGTTGACCCGGCGTACGAGAAGTTCCAAAACATCTCAACAATCCGTGCTCCATCGCTTTATCTCCTTGGATCAGGCTCTATGAGCCCCATAAGATGGGAGCTGGACTCCGGATATGTGCACAGGAACCTGCCGGCCTCGATTGCCCCCATCGGGGCTTTCTTTACAATCTTCTCGTCTGTAACTGATAGCCTGTCTCCCAACGACGTTGTTGGCAAGTCAAGTATGAGTCTGTGGCTGAAGTGGCGAGAATTGTCAAAGTCAGCCAACTCTGCCTCGACTATTCTGAAACTGCTCTGGACCGATTTTGTCGCATCAGCTGTGGTTGGAACAAAGGGGGTGCTGGGGGTGAGAAATGCACAACCCGAGGACGCAGCAGAGGTGTCTGTCATTCCACTGGAGCACAGAATTCGGTATCGCTGGGTGTACGGCATACCCGCATTCCTCCTGCTCGCATGCATGGCACTCATCGCAGGGTTGGCGGTCTTCTTGCGCTTGGCTGGACGATCTAATCTCGACAAGATGCATTACCGGTTGAAGCAGACGTCACTTGGCCGTGCGTTGACGACCTTGGTTGATCCGCAGTCAAGCAACTTTTTCATGTCTGCCAGAGACTGGAGTAAGAACAATGCCAGTAAAGATATCGACTTGAGTGTGAACCGGGGAGTGCTCAGTCCACAGCCACAAGCACAAGTGACACAGGAGAAACTTGGATCGTCAGCGTCGGAAGCACGTAAAGGGTAGATGATTAACGATGAGGCTCACTTGGTTTTATTTTTATCTGCGCTATCTTGACATGATGGATTGTATATATGTTTCGATGTTAGGTTTCTCACCTACCACCTTCCCACCCCAAGACTCGCTGCCTCGCCCAGTCGTTAGCTGCCGCAGAGTGCTCCTGTTCCGCCACTACAGTAACCTGCGTCTGCTTGAGAATGTGCTTCTGGCTATCCCCATCATCGTCACTTCGACGCGGCCTCTCCTTATCGTAGTTGCTCTGCGTGGCCGTCACTGACGCCAACGTGTTCAGCTTGACACTATCCCCGTGGTCATGCCGCCGGCGTCCTGACATGTGGGAACTGTTATGGCCCGATGGATATCTTGGGTTGCTGCCACTGGCGTAAGTGCTGCGACCAAAGATGGGGAGGTTCAGCAGGGGCCGCAGTGCCGGCATGGATCCAGCAACGATTCCAATGCCTTCCTCCAGAACAGACCACAGGCCAATCGCGCCTGTACTATACATAAACTCCGTCGGATCGTTGTATAGCGTGAGGTAACGAAGTCGAACGATCGTGGCACAACTCGCGCTAAGAGGTAGGTTGTCAGTGGTGCTTATGAATGTGATGGGGGAATTCTTACAATGCGGCAAGACCGAGCATGAGAGCAACCGACATCTTAACTCGTGGCTTCATTTGAATGTTCCAGAGCAAGACTCCGGGGAGCAGAGCCAGCGTCCAGTCGGTGACAATTGAAATAGCCGAGAAGAAGAAGCCAATGCTACTGTTCAGCTTGAGGTTGCAAGTGCCCTCCGACTCTCCCCAAAGGGTTGTAACCGGATGACAGACGTTGGCTGTGGCGATGATGAAGATGACACTGGCCATGCAGGTCATGATCAAGACAGACCAAATAGTCCACACGAATCGACGGCGAGAATCGGCGATACGGAGGAGAGTGACACAGATGCTAGCCTTGATAGGTACCGTGCAAGCCGCGTAGAAGAACTGGGCGATAAAGAAAAGCTTTTCCCATCTGTGGTCAGCTTCGAAGAGCGTTCGGTTCAGGGCTGAAATCCTACCTTTGTTCCTTTCATTATATCAGCTTTGTCGATGTGCTTCGCCTTCTGTCCTGAACCATGGAAACAACACGTAATGACGAGACCGGCAACCACAGTGTAGAGCACCTGCAACGAAGGCATCAAGTCAGCATTTGAGGGGTCAAGTTGGAACAAAGTTTGCTGTACATACCAGGCCTACACACATCAGCCAGTCGTCCAAACCGAGTATCTTTTTCCATCTCCGAACTCCCAAACGCGTGACGAGTGTGACCCAAGAAAGTGACACCATCACAATGGTAAGGTAGAGCAGCGGAACGCCATCACCCGCCACTTTAGCCATGCTGGCGGCGAATTGCAGTGGCGTTGATCCCAGATATCGAAGTTGGCGGATGCGAAGAAGACCGTTTGGGGAGAGTTTTTCGATTACACGCGTCGTTACCCGGTCCCGAAAACTCGGGACAGAGCCTGTATATCTGTTGGTTCTCGAAAAGCAAAAACCAACCAAGGATTCGTGACAGCAGTGACAAGCTTCATGGAATTCTCCATCGTTGCCATCCTGGCAGACCAGGGAACGAGAGCTCACTACCACCTCGCCTCGGTTTGCCCGGCCCAACTAGGAATCGAGCATTTACTGAAACAAACCCTGGACCTTGAAGAAGCAGGACTGCTGAGCCCCTGATAGAACCATTTGAACCACTTGAACAGTAGCTGCAGGCGTGGTGCCACTTTGCAGGGACCAGGCCACGGGCCCAGATCCAAAACAACGGGCCTCCCAGTGAACTCCCCACTCCAAACCCTCGGGCAGAGCCTCACAAGAAACGGCCGGAGTAGTCCCTCATTTGGCTCGGGGGCCGAAATCTGTAGATCTTGGTCAACTTGGGGTTAGATGACCGTTGAATTGCAGCCGAAGTTGACAGCCGGCAAACCCTGTCTGAACGGTCACTTCGGCACTTCGAAATTTCATGCTAGTAAAGCTAGGACCCGGAACGTAACATAAAGGAGATGCTACGCAATAACATGACCATGCCATATTTTTACTAGCGGATACTACCCTCAGAGGAAGCCGGTTAACACGGATGCTCCCATTGAACCAGGCACCCTGTCTAGAAACAACATGGACATGGACAAGGGTGAATGGAGATCCCACTTCAAAACAATTCGCAAACCCAGTCAAATCCTTCCAATCCTTTCGCTCTTGGCCCACAGAGACCCCAAGGAACCCCTAATGGGAGCAGAAGCTCGGAAGACCTGGCTGTCTGCTGCTGTCAGGTCAGTCTCTCTACCCGACAGGCTGGGTACATCCTCGGATACAGGCGAGCTTACGCGTGAGATGTGACAGTATGGAGATCTGTCGGGAGTTGGAAGCGAGCTGCGGCAAAGCTGATCAAACATCTTGACATGTCTGAAAAGCAACGACATGTGGTTTGAAGCCGAGATCGAGAAGTTAAACGATATACGGCATGTGGCTGGCCTTATCTTGATAATCGTACAATTACGAGGCTTCACAGCTAGTCATGTAGAAGCCGCCGTCTCAGGGTCCTCCCTGTGCTTCTAGCCAATGCCACTCAAAGCAGCCCCATGACACGATTGCACAACAAAATCGTTTTACGCGGCAACCAATCTGCCCCCATCAACGGAAGGGGCGGCCCCCAAGCGTTTGATCAGCCCCATCTAGCCGTTCTTGAACCCTGCTAGACAGCGGGTAGAATGAACTATCACGACTTTGGAAACGCCAGCCTCCTTCAGTAGCCCGTGCAGCGTTGGATCGAGCGGGTTTCGGAAAACCAAATGAGTCTAGACAAACAAACTCGTCATACGAGAGCGAGGCTATTCCAACATTGAAGCTTCTAACCGAGCTCAATCCACACTCTCCTTACCGGGGTTCTCGGCTTGAGGTTACCATCCCAACCCCCATGCCACGTGGGATTTACATATCCGAACGCCATTATGAGCTCTGCGAGAAGAGCTACTAATACAGACCTTGGGATGTTTAATGCGGCCTCATTCAATTCCTCCATTCTCATTGCATCTCTAAACACCATGGCTGAATTCATCATCGAAGACAAGGACCTCGCCTCCCTCAAAGGGAAAGTGATCATCGTCACTGGTACGTCAAATCGGCAATCCCCTGTCCACTATCCAATGTTTTTATGAGCCTGAAAAGGCTGACCGTTGCATTGCATCCTTTAGGAGGCTCTTCCGGCATTGGTCTTGCCACAGTCAATCTCCTTCTGACCCTGGGAGCCTCTGTGGTCAATGCCGATATCCAAGCCCCAGCTGAGGAGCCTCAGAGCTCCTACACCTTCGTGAAGACCAATGTTGCGGTCTGGGCCGAGCAGGTCGCTCTGTTCAAGAAGACGAAGGAGGTCTATGGTCGTATTGACCATGTCTTCGCCAATGCCGGTGTTGGCCCTCGCGCAGACTACCTGTCTACCGAGGTGGATGAGAATGGTGACCCCAAGGAGCCTTCGCATCTTCTTCTCGATGTCAGCTTGAATGGTGTCATCCACTCAGCTACCCTCGCCATCTTCCACATGCGACAGCAGCCTGAGGGTGGCAGCATTGTCATCACTGGCTCCACCACCGGCCTCCAGCGCCTTCGTGCTGTGGACTACGGTAAGTCCTTTCTACCTCTTAATACATTTCTTTCTCTAACATATCATAGCCACTGCCAAGCATGCCGTCCTCGGTCTTGGAAGAGGTCTCGTCCCTCTGCTCGGTGCCGCCAACCTGCCCATCCGAGTCAACACCCTAGCGCCAAGCTGGGCCGACAGCAGTGTCCTCCCAGACCTCAAGGGTCTCTTGGAGGCCATCGGTGTCGAACTGATGCCCGCGTCTGCTGTTGCCCGCGGTGCAGCTCTCCTTATGGCTGATGAGTCCCGCAACGGAAACCTCATCCACGTTCAGCTTGGAAAGTACAAGGAGATCGATGAGGCTGTCCTCCTGCCTGCATTTGAGTCTATCAAGGGCCCCGACTACCCCAGCGAGGAAGAGGTTCTGCGCCGCCTGGCGGAGCTTGCGGCCTCTAAGAAGGCATAGGGGTCGAGGAAATTATGAAGTACCCCACGGAGTCTGCTGGGTTTCAAGGACCACTCAAGGATACCACTAGCAAATAATTGTTATGAATGCATAATACACATGTGCTTGTCACATTCTGTACCACATGTTGACATTTGGTGAAATCATCTCATAGATGCCGTCAAGAAATCAGCCTAATTACACGGTTAAAGCGCCGTTGCAGATATGTAACCTTGGAGAGAAAGACCTCATCTCTCCCCGCATATCCCCTCAATAATCTTCTGATCTACTCTTATTCGGCGGGAAATAGCCAGTTCCACCTATGGTTGTGTTGCTCACAATGCAGATCTCATCAATAACTTGCAGCATACTATGCCAAGACGTGGAGTTGAGGATGTAGTTAAATGATTTATAAAACGCGCTGTTCCAAAGCTCGCATCTTGCATTATCAGACAATCTCGCTTGTAAATTGTGCCTCTTATCCAAATACATGGCGGCTGGTCTGAGCCATGACAAAAATCACCATTTTCCTGAGCCTTTGGCTAGGCCTGGCCTCTTTGTCATTTGGGCTGAAGAACCCAATCATTAGAGGGTAAACATCCATCCCCCCAAACGAAATGATTCTAATAACACCTTTGTCTTAGATGGAACCCCGACCCTCACGTTATCCGTGTAGACAATACCTACTACGTAGCTGTATCCTCCTTTCTCACATATCCCGGTATTCCCATATACAAATCACAAGACTTGGTCAACTGGGAGTTGATCTCTCATGCCATCGATGACCCTCAAAAAGTCCCCATCACTGGCACGAGAACAGGAAATGGTACGTTCATTCTCGGACACGGTGTCGATTGCTAAACCCCATGATAACAGGCATCTGGGCGCCTTCCCTTTCCTATATCAATGGTCGATTTTACGTCACCTCAATGGCGATGACGGGGTCGGATCCTGATTACCGAACCTGGCCTCGGATGTTCTGGGTCTCTTCGAAAGATCTCAAGGCATGGTCCGAGGTTGTCTGGGGAGAGCCGTACGGCATTGACCCGCACCTTTTTCAGGATCCGATATCGAAGAAGACGTATCTCACTATCATGGGCTTAAACAATGGCTTTAATCGTCTATGGGGTATCAGCCAGTGCCAAGTAGACCTGGAGAGTGGCGCTTGTGTTGGCCCTTACCGCAGCATTTGGAACGGCACAATGCCCGTGACGAACAAGACCCGTCCCGAAGGGCCTAAAATCTTTTACAAGGACAAGTACTACTATTTACTCATTGCCGAAGGCGGTACAGGCGCTACTCATAGGGCTTCCATTGCTCGCTCCAAGTCTCCTGAAGGACCCTGGGACTCGTCGCCTACCAATCCGTTGATATTCAACGGTGCCGACTCCAACCTTGTGGTTGGCAACACTGGGCACGCCACGTTTGCCGACACCCCTGACGGTAAATGGTTCGCCACCTTTTTGGCTCGCCGATATGTCGATAAATGGTCGGTCCTCGGACGCGAAACCTTCTTTGCTCCGGTGAGCTGGAAGGATGGATGGCCTACCATGAACAACGGCGACTACGTTTTGTTGAGTCAGAGCTACGACTATGGTCCCAATGCTACATATCCTCCCAAGCCATATGAAGATCGCTTTGAGGGTCCCGAGCTCCGACCAAGCTGGTATCAGCTCCGTTCACCATACTCCAAAACATACCGTCTGAAATCCAAAGGAAATGGGGTGATTCTGGTCCCAAACGTCTACACACTCAGTGACCGGGACACCCCCAGTGCCATCTTGAGAAAGCAGCAGTCTGTCAACATGACATTTTCCGCAACTCTACTGCCAACTCAAAAGGGTCTGGGGCCATACCAGTCTGTCGGCATCTCGGCTTATTCAAGTGAGCTGGCCCATCAGGATCTTGGGGTTCGAGGATGTGCCCACTCAACTGGCCTTTGCATCTTTGTGGATATCACTGCGAATTCACCTGGCCCCGGAACGCCCCCAGAAGTAAGTTTAGGTCCATTCTTATGTCTTTTAGAGTATGATATTAACATATTCACCTCAGTCAGAAGAGTTCCCTTTGAAATTGACGCAAATTCCTTCAGACTTGCAGCTGCACATCCGATCTGAACCCCGGCAGTATAAACTTGGATATTCGATTAGCGATCAGGAAACCAAATGGGTCAAGGCATTCTCCCCAAGCCTCCTTCCTGTGGGATTTGACGGCGTCATGTTCGGCCTCTTTGCGAGTGGCAACAGTTTCCCCTGGCCCCACGATGGACCTGAGGTTGGGTTCAGCAAGATTCGGGAGGAATACTATGATGAGGGTTTTGGCGACTACAAAGATGGAAAGGAGGGCGAATAGAGACCCTTGAGCCATGCGAACTGGCACGAAACATGTTGTTTTCGATGCAGCACGCACAAATATAGACGGGCAGTTACTGTTCCTACTCCTTGGCATACGAAACATAGATCGGATGCATTTACCACAACAGCCCTCCATGCAACGCAATAGTTTGATGCAACGCCTTACTGCCCCTTACTACCTGACTCTTGTAATCAATCGGGCTTCTAAACATGGCAGAGTGAAACTCGTGTGTCTACCCCAGTTCCCTACTCACTGTGGTCTGTAGACAGTGCTCAAGTCCCCAAGGGCGTGGGTTGACCAAGCGTGGTGCCTCTTGCATACGCTCCAAGACATGTCTGCTTTTTCTCGATTCCTGACGATTCAAATAAATTCCATTATTTCACAGGTCGGAGGTTATGCTTCGCCATGTGCGCTCCAAGAGCTCAATCATTCCAATGAGAGTGTCCACTTCAAGCCAGCAAGTGAGGTCAACACTCAGCCCTCCGTGTTGATTCTGTGGAGTTCAAATGGACAACTTGTGGCCACCGTCGTGCACCACCTGCTTCCAACCTCATGACTGACAGCCGCCATCAGCCGCGGCTCTTCTCAAGCCTGGCGCCTTGCATTTATAGCCGCGACCGGACCTTGTAATTGTAACCTTGTTTTGGAGTCACAGCACATGGCATCTCACAGCAGCGTATCATTCCGAACCCCAGGTCGTTAAGATGGGCAACCCCCTTGAGGAACCACAATGGTCCCAATCAGCCACGACTCTGATCCCACATGGCACGAACCAGCCAACAGAAATATACCCGTACACTGATTCACTACCTACGACTTCCGAACCAGCATCACGTCCCTCTCGCAGACATTTATGGAAATGCAAATTCTTTCTATACATCCTCTCCCTTCTTGCTTGCATCACCAACTCTGGGTTGATCGGCTTCCTCAAGACCAGATGGAGCGATCGCTCAATCACCATGTACTGCCCGTCCGTATGTCAGAGTGCTCACTCACATCTCATATCTTGTCCGCTAATCACCTTCACATTATCCAGCTCGCCGTTGTCTCGCTCTGGGGTATAGTATGTTGCATCAACTACCTCAAACATCGAGGCAATGCTGTCGGCAACCCAGACCTGTTTGTTGTTGCTGATCTTGTTGCCTTCCTGGTTATCCTTGCTTCAACGATCTACGTCGGCATATTTGAAATTATCGTGCTGGATGGTTATCCATGGGCATGGCTCGAGTCACAACTTCAAACGAGCGTAAGGAGTAGTTACGCCTGTCTCGGAGTTGGAAGTTTCATAGGGCAAGTTCCGACTCTTTTTTTTCTCTTTCTGCCTCGATATAGCACCACTAATTCTTATTGAAGATTCATCCATCTAGTGCTCTTCATCGTCGCCTGCTGTGAGTGCCACAGTCAAAGAACAAAGCCTCGTCTATGAAAGATTCAGCAACACTCCTCCTCCATAGACTTAAGATGGTTACAGCTAATGCGAGTATTGCAGAGGAGGTTGATTTGATGTTACCTAAACATACTTCCCTTACCACAGTTATGCCATGTCTGAGCTTATAGTTGACAGTGTGTGATACACTAACGCGCGAGTGAAGATATGACGAATCGTTCATCTTTCCACGTCGTCTAACTCTTTTCTTATAATGTGCTATCTTATCTACCATCCTCAGAGTAGGTTTTATCTATGCCTTTATCATGGTCAGTAGAGTCTTCTATTATCTTGACGTCTACTGACTGACAGGACGTATGACCGTGATGATCTGTTTCAGCTCTAACTAAAACCTTGGATGATTCCAACCAAAGCCCTCGCCAAACTAATCTTTCCTAGATCAGAGAAGGGGACTGCTAAAGATATCTTGACTGTCTGTGTCGGCGCATCCCAACCCCATAGGCAGTTGATCAAGCTACATGAACCAAATACATCTAGAAGACTGAAGAGATTCATTCTCACTTGGAGGGACTGGGGACACTCCATCGCCGGCCGTTGCCAGTGCGTGCTCTTGGGGAGATGACACCAGAAAATACCAGCAAGCTCATCACGCCTTGGCTCTTATCACTTACCCGGCAACTTCAGTCACACGCGTCACTGCCGTTGTCACAAGTCTTTTGCATATTAATACCAGGGTTCCCTCCCTTTCCCCATCAGTACTATCAGCAGACGCAAGCATCGGCAGCATACCTTGATCGGAGCTCAACTTCGACTAACCACTACAACTTCACACAGCATTTCCCTAATCATACACTTTCCCAAGCTGAGGAGCAGTTCCAATGTATCACTACAGAAACTACTATTCCCCCCGGCGATTGCCCCACGTCGTCCTCGTTTCGACTGACATGACAAGCAAGTCAGAGTTTGAGAGAACCCAAGCCGACTTTTTAGAACATCTTGAGGAAAGAATCAGGGTCTCCTGGGCCACGACACCAACCGAAGTCCTCGATCACTTTATATCGGTGCCATTGTCAAATATACCGCCCTTGGCCATGCTACTGATCGACAGCTCCCTCCTACGTCCGGAGTATTCAAGAGTCATGGCAGAGGTTCGGCATTACGTTCGACGAGGTGGCAAAGTCATCACCATGTGGCGTTTCGGCGTTCCCGAGCCAGACGATCATACTCACCGCCTCTACTTCAACAACTTCTTTTGGCTATTTGGCACCGGATGGACTCTCGATGAGCATCGAACGATGCAGCTTGTAATCAACCCGCAACTTGCGGAAGAGAGTAGACAACTGGCTCAGAGACTTCCTCCTTGTTTCACGCTAGAAGGTCGATGCATCCGGGTCTACCAGGAACAACATTCGTGCTACACTGTCAACAGGCTTTTGAATCTGACGCCAATCGCGTACGCACGTATTGGAAGAGGGTGTATTGGATATGTTGGCGATTGTAAATGGCCGATGAACCCCCGTTCAATCAGGGTCATAGAAGCGATGTGCCACCTGGGAACCTCGTCGGAAATGAATCAGCCCATTGCTATTGAGTAGATGCCTACGGTATGTATTGGCGTGATGGGCACACAAACTGTTTGTAGCGAATACCACTTGCAAGCAGGGCGAGTTGTGTCCCCTTGATCCCCCATGAACCAGAAACCCGAGTCCCTAAAGCTATTTGTATATCAGGGCTTCCTCTTCCTACTCGTTTAACTACTCTTTTGATGCGATCGCTTTATTCTGGATAACTCGGCAATGCAACAGAGAGAAAGACACTTCCATACACAACTTGGCTGCACCCACATCCTTGTCTGGCTCTCAGGTGGCTGGGTCTGCCTGAATGCAAGCGTGTCGAGCACATTCACCGTCACTTGCCGCGCCCACCCACCAAGAACTAGGTGGGTTGTCTCATTCTCCATAGATGCGTAAGTTGTCGATTGACGAATTTATTTAGATGAGAGGAGAGAGAACCTGACAAAGTAGGTGCCTCATGGGTAATCCGACCCCGGTCAAAGCACATTCACTACACCATGTACGATGCGTCTCAAACCTGAGGCCATGGCTTCTGTTAAATCTTGTACATTATGACTCCAAGGCATCGGGTGCCTTCCGATGGATATTAGACCACATAGCCTACTCTAAACATACTCTAAAGTGAGACCTTCCAGCGACAATGATATGCTATACGCCGTGACCATGCATAACCTAAAGCCTTAGGTGAAAATCCTAAGCCTCAGTGCAGTTCATTACCTCTCGTGACGTCCAAGTTGCTCTTCACACGACGATGGCCCAGTGGCGTTTCGCCCGAGTTTCGCTAAGCCTCGGTGCGATCTGCCAAGGGAGTCGGGTCCTCTAGAGCCTTCGTCGACGTTGGCAAGTCGGTCGTCTCATCTCCAGGCACAGGGGTGGCGTCACCGGGGGTTGGAGACTCCTCGTCGTCCTTCTCCATCATGGCCGCCAAACGGGCTGCGCGTCCTTCCTTCTTGCGAGGTACCGGAGCTGAAACAGGTCAGTATTGCTTAGATAGGGAGAACGATGGCGCAAAGACTTACCTCGTCCGTTCTCCTGCACGTAAAACCGTCTCAGAAGACCGACTGCATCATCGCGACCCCAACCACCCTCAATCTCATAGCCCGACTCAATATTTCCGCCATCGCCGCCACCGGGTGGGTATGAGACACCCAGAGTACCGCTGCCATCTGGGAGTTGCGCTGGCTTCGGGGTAGGATGGGCGCTCGCGGTCTGTCCATCGGCGCTGATGGGAAGAGAATTGGCATGGATGCTAAAGACACCACCCGTGCCGCCAAACTTGTCGTTGACGGCACCAAAGTAGACCTTCTTGATCCCGAGTTGTCGCAGCAGAGATGCGCACATGACGCATGGTTCCACAGTAACGTAGAGGATGCACTCGCGAACAATAGATCGATCGACTCGCTCGTCGGGATGACACTTTTGGCCGTAGGGGTAGAGGTGTCCCTTGGAGCCGTCCTCGTTGCCCTCATCGGGCATGACCGACGACACAGAAGAGGCGTCGGAAGCCGCAGCTGAAGGGGGAGGAGCTTCAACCTTGGGTCGTAGAGATGTGGTTCTGGGTCCGTCCTTTGGCGGGTAGGACAGCAAGGCACCCAAAGCCATGATCTCGGCATGTCGAGTGCCATTTCGCGTGACGTTGGTGGCATTCATGCCTCTGGCGATGACCTTGCCGTCATGCACAAGAACACAGCCAACGGGAGTCTCGTTAGTCCGAAGAGCAAGCCGGGCCTGCACAATAGTTGGGTCAGTGGCTCAGGCAGCAGATACCTAGGCGGTGCAACTTACCATATCGAGGGCTTCCTCAATGAACTTCATGTGCATCGCTCGTTCGGCAACTATAGCAGGATCCGTAAAGATCGGTACCGCAGGAGCCGCGGGCTTCGTGGGAGAAGTCGTAGTCACATTGTCCCGATCGAGGCTCAGGCGAGCAAGTGAGTCAGTCAAGATGCTTGTGTCCGGTGGCTGGTTCTCTTTATTGCGCTCAGCGGCCAGCTTCTGCGGAGATGCCATCGCCTCTGTCGAAGGGGCTGCCTTTGTCGTGATGAGATGCGAAGGGTTTGAGTCCTGGGTGTTGTCGTGAGGTTCTGTCGATGATCGGGGGGTGGGTAAATTGTCGCGGTTGGATTGCTGATTGTTATCGCGTGTGTTTTCTTTGCTGAAGTCCTTCTGACTGCTGTTGGTCTCGTCGTGGGTGTTGTTCTTGCCATTTTCGCTTGTCGCTGCGCTGCCAGTGGCACTGTCACTTTCACCAGCTGGCAACACCCGTCCAAAGAGACGACGAAAGGCCTTTGCGCCTGCCTTCTTGGCCGGTGACAGGCCAAGTGACTTGAACACGCCCATGATTGCCTTGGCTCACTTGATCTTTGAGCAATCTGGGTGCGCCTCTCGTTGGCTCTCGATGTCAATCCTCGCTTGATCCTGTCGCCTCAAGACCAGGAGCCAACGTCTTGCGTGTCCTTTTCTCAAATGATTCCCCTCCCCTCCTTCTTATATCCCCCAAAAACAATATCCCTCTCTTTCTTTGGTTCTCCTCCTGCCAATGTATCCCCTCTACTCCTCCCAACAAGGTACTCCTCCACTTTCGACTCACTCAAAGGCCACGCGCCTCTGTCGTATCGCAGCCCTCGCCGATGAGTAGTATGATCAAAGAATCAGCTTCTTAACCAATAAAGATCAAAGAGACTCAAGCTCAAGGTGTTCTTTGAAGATCACAGTCCCTCCTTAGATCATCGCACGTCAAGAGGACTGAGTCACCGGCGCGACAAACTCAAAAAGCCCAGACTTTGCGCTCGCGATTTCCAAAACCCCCGGTACCAACCGAGAAACACAAAAGTCAAGTCTGGCTGGATCCAAACCAAATGAAATCGACCAAGGTGATGCGACCAGTCTATCACACGCTGAAGTACTCCCGGTCGACAAGCAAACGCGCGCGACAGGTGATGTCTGTCGAAACAGTCAAGTTCGCACTGGAGGTGGAAAGGCCAGATCAGCGGCACCAATGGTACGATATTATGGAATCTCAGGGCCTTGGGTCAAGGTCTGGGCATGAATGATCGTGTAAGGAGCAATCAGATTGCCCAAAGGGTTGAAAAGGATGGAGGATACTCATGTCCTACTTTGACATGAAAGAAGATTTCAAGCTCCGTTGACGCTAAGCCTCATGTGGCACGCCTGCGCGGGTCAAACGAGACACCAAGCATGACTCTTCACGAAGGATATAGAAAGTTTTATGAAGAGAATACTAGGATAATAAAGGAGGTATCTTGTAAGAAGACAATATTTGAGATCTCATTTATTTATTATTTCGTCACTCTTGTGATGCCTATTGATCTACCCTTGCAGGAGAAGGAGCCAATGCTGTCATGTCTCATCTGCCTTGACCCACATGCCACCGTTTACAAACTCGCCGTTTTCTGAGCAAACGGAGGTCAGCTGATCTATTTCACAGTTGTACCAGCCAAGTACCCCAGCACCACAATGTCAAGGCCATTCGCAGGTGGCCTAACAAAGCTCAGAGGTCCAACTCCTCTCAGCGGAACAGCACATGAGACGTTATGAGATGATCGCACCAGACATCACAAGGCAAGGCACGATTGAAATAAATAATACACGGCCTTAGAGGCCAGTTCATTGCGTTTTTGGCTCAATGCTCGCTCTATAGCAAAGGCCGTTTCCTGTCAAAAAAAACCAGCGCGCTCTGCGCATGTGGTCGCTCTTCGATATGACGATCCAAATCAAACAAAGAAAAGAGTCCCGCCTCATCTAAGAACGAGACCAGGGACTTTCAGAGTCATGCGATGTACAACTCTCTCCACGAATGCCCAAAACCCAAAAACCTTCTGGTCTATATCAAGGACCCGTCTACACTGCAATTAAGCTCCAGCTTTGTGAGACCATGCGATCAACCGACTTCGTGCCGCCCATTGCTCTCTTCGCGCTCAAGGTGACGTGAGCTTTCCCTTTGATGTTTGCCATCAAGCGTCGTGCCTGAGACGAGGAAGACCATTCTCCTTTCGTGGAGAGAGTCCTCTGGTCCACAGGTCCCATCTCAACGGATGAGAGACAGAACCAGGCCATGAGTGCGACCGCTATCATGACGACGGACATAAATGTCGTCAGGGATGACGGCTGCAGTAGTGACGCCAGAGCAGTCGAGACAGGGGCGATGCCCATGAATGCAGAAGAAAGCTGAGATCTCTCCTCCTTCTCACCGACCGCAAGTTGGGCCCGGGGTGTCTGGGGCTTGATTTGTGTCATGGAGGCAGCGATGGCCGACTCTCGCTCAACATTCGCACCTGTAAATGGTGCTAGCTCCAGAACATCACGCCTCCTATTTTGCGAAACAGGAGAACCAGAGTTCAGAGCATTCGAGCGAGTGATGCCGACATCCTCGGCACGTTGATGCTCTGTCAGGACATGACAAGACGAGCTGTCACGGCGTTGTGCTGCGACGTCTTCACGACGATCACGTTGTTGTTGATCGCTGCGATGGCCGCGATCTGAGTGATCATAGTAGTCAGTGTAGCCACCGGCTGTCTGGCTCAGGCCGTTCGTGCCAAGGGCACCAGGTCGTGAGGCGTTCGCAAATGGTGTCACCTTCGAAGAAGTTAGTCGCCGCAGTGAGATCAGAAAGGGTTCTGCACGTACACTCTGGAGAGTATCTCCCGTGGGATCAGCAATGATGTTGTGACTAATTTCCACCTTTTGACAAATTAGTCGCTGTTCCATGAAGGCGTTCATTGAGATACGTACGTTGCTTCCCGCAGGTGACATCATGCCAGGAGAAGTGAAGGGGTCGGTGGTGTAGGCCAACGAGACGGGTGTCTCTGAAGGTTGGAAGTCGGTTGTGTAGGCCGACGAGACAGAAGTCTCAAGTGAGCTTATGCTGTGACTCAGAACATCCGAGTCGAAGCTGGATGAGGGGCTCGAGCGGTACCGCTCAAGGCCAGTACCAGGATCGCGATACGTCCTATCTAGGACAATGTCGCCATCACCAAAGAGCTCCTGAGGTGTGGCCCAGACAAGCGCAGATTGCGTGCCAAGGTCACCACTTAGATAACCGCCGCTACTCTCTGGGCCATCCGAGGGATCGATTGGTGGTCGTGGGTTCGCTGGGGACCTAGGTTGACTAACCGACTGCTTGGACAGTTCGATCGGGACCATACGTTCGTCTTCCGAGAATGAGGACTCGGGAGAGAACAGGTTGAAATCGACATAGTTGTGAGCCGGTTCTGTCTGGTTGAAAGGTAGATCCACCGATGGAACGTTGACCTCCGCATTGACCGTATTGTACGGGCCAAGTTGGTCTTGTGTGGAAGTCGGTGTCACAGGCTTTGTGGAGTACGCCGACACAGAAGAAGATTGAGGAGAGAAGTAGCCCTCTGGGTCGTTGAAGAAGTCGTAGTCGTCGACAGGAGGGTACTCGAGGAAGTCCTCCCAAGCCACGTTCTCGGCTGGTACTATACCAAGCAGGTTGTCGAGTTCTGGAGTTGAAAGAGCCTGCACGTCTGGGAATCCTATAGAAGCAGAGAAATCAGGCTGAGCAGCGGCAGGAGATGTCCGTGCTTCCCGAGCAGGAGTCTTCGTCTTCTTGGTGACCTTGGACACAGGCTGGGCCTGGCTCTGGGTGACTCCACGCTTCTTGTGGCTGGGGTCGCAGCGGATCTTCTTCCGCCGGCAGCTGTCGCAAGCCTTGATGATTCGCATCAGGTGAGCGTGATCTCGCTGCTCCTTGGTCTTGGAACCTCGAGAAGCAGAGTTTGTCACATCGCGGCCGTCCCTTGTCATGATCTTCATACCAGGCAGGTGGGAGAAGTCGGTGGTCTGGTGCCGCGAAGCAGCCTTGGGAGACTGGCGTTGCGAGGGGGCAGCAGCGTTAACCTGGCTCCAGTCCCAGTTGGACATGACAGGGCTAGCGTTGAAGGAAGAACCGTAACCAGAGTCCTGAAGAGGGCTGGCAGTAGCAGGAGACACAGCGGGGGTGGCCATTGAGAAGACGGGGTAGAACTTGAAGGTCTGCCCAGTCAGATGGGCGTACTCAAGGAAATCGAGAGAGATGGAAGCGCGCTTCTCCTGGACAGAAGCCGGACCGGGGATGTAAGCGTTCACCAGCTCATCGAGCTCGCGGCTCCCGACAGCAGGGAAGAACTGGAGCTGAGACCCGAGGGCAGGCTGGAAGACGGAGAAGCCCTGGGGGACAGCGTTCGAATTGGCCATGATAAACTGATTACCGTGCGATCCGACTTGATAAGGTTGAATTGTTTAAACGAACGACGGATATTTGGAGCTGCGGTGCGCTCCAAATCCGTACTTTAGAAAGTGGTGAGTGGGAAAGTCGATGCGCTGCGCGACTGAATGCGACTCTGTTAGACCAACGGCACCATGTGTGACAAGTCGGAGGGATGCTTACGCCGACCTGCTTACCCTCACGTGAGGTGCTGTATTAGTCCGGCGATAAGAGCTGGAACGCCGAGAGTTGCGATATCTTTTCGATGCCAACAGTAGCAAGGCTGGGCCACGAGAGATGCGTGGGATCTTTGAGCGGCGAAGCGGGCCACGCTGAGCTGGGGAAGGACGTGGGAATAGGCGAAGCCTCGACAAACGAAACTGGTCGCCAGCTTCGTACGATGTCCTTGTCTCAAAGTATGAGCAAGTGGTGAAGGCGTGAGGGGAGCCTAAGGATGGGGGGGAAGTCGTGATACTAGTAACGAAAGGGGGGAGAGTAGAAGAAAAAGCCTGAGGCCGCTTGGAGGGCGTCGTCCAAGGTATTTCACTGCCTGGTCTGAAGCTGAACTTGCTTGGGGATTCGCTCAAAGCATGGCGCAGCAGGTGGAGGAGATTGAGTCTTTCGGCGTGCTCGATTAGGCATGGCGTCGCGAGGCAGAGTGGCCCATCCTGGCCAATCATAGTATCCAAATCTCTGGAGATCTGCCTCACCAGGAACGCCCATTGGTCTGCCCGACCCACCACCTGCACCACCCGAGCTCTGACTTCGGCGAGAAAATAGCGCCTCCATTGGTCAATGCGTGGAGTCCTGCATGTGAGGATGACTCAACTCTGGCAACCCCAGGTTTGAGAGTCGTTCGACCCATGGTCCGCCATTCCGGATATGTGGCCATGCCCGTCGGAGGCCGCGACATGGCTTAGCAGCCCTCGTATTTTGTTCGAGTCTTCAAGATCTCATCTCTATTGTAAGAGTAACCACATCATTGTATCTCCAGAAGAGATATCTCAGTATGCTGCTCGAGACTTTACATGTTCTTACTGTGAAACTCAACTCTGTGCCATGTGGTGGAAGGTTTGTGAGGGAAATGTCATAGAATCGTGAGTCAACCACATTCAACTGTGGCCACGTCCATCATTTGTAGATAGCAAGTCGCAGATCGTCCCAGATCAGGGAGGCCAAACGGCATCACTGTTCTGGCATGCTGTAGATGGCTCTGTTGGCAATAGCAAGACCAACAGAAGTTCATCCATGGGAAGCCCGTCCACGTTGACCAAAGAAATGAGAGGGGACATCGAGACCACTTATATATTGCACCAGGAACCACCAACACCAATGCCCAAACACAGCTCATTAGGCATTACCAAGCAAATGGGTCTATTCCCAGGATCCACACGCCTCTACCGTCCATTGAACGCCCTCCGAACTTGAACACCCCAATCCCCCCAACATTGCCCGCCGATGAACCATGCCGGAGAACAGGACATGGGTCATGGTGGGGGCTCAACACCATCTTGTGCGACTCATTATGAGTGTATATGGCTCGTCCGTTTCGAGAACGAGGTACGGCGCACCAGGCGCCCTGACATTGCCCGCCTCAACTCTCCCCGAGTAACCCGCGAACCCGGTGTTAGTGACCGGCCGCAATCAGGCTTAACCACCGAGTACCTTTGTAGAGTTTGCATTAAACCTAGAGAGGTTTGCACCGAGGTGACTGTGACGGCGAAGCGCAGACTCCATACCCATAGATCCACTGCTCCTGTTTCTCACTTTCCACATTTCCACACTTGCAGCAGTACTGTTGTTTGTCGTTCCATTGATCACACAGTCTGCATCTAAACCAGATTGGGGGGTCGTAGAGCTCCACGGGGTGGTGTATCTTGAAGAAGTGATCCATTAATTCTGTCGGGGTCGTGAACTTGTCCGTGCAGGGCTTCGCCATGACCGGCATGGCCCCAGCATGTTGGTTATTCCAGAACAGGCATTGCCATGTGGTTGTCTTGGTGGGTGTGCAAGTCAAGTCCCTCCCAATGGCCACAATGGAGAAGCTGCGCATCAGTTGAGGTTCCCGAATAGGTTCAGCATCCAGGGTTGGGTTATCCAGTGTCAGTGGAACGAGAGTCGGGCCAAGGGGGGTGTCCGTTGATACCGACGGCAGCAACCCTGCGAGATGAAGGTCTACCAGAGAATCTGGTGGATTTAATGTATCCGAGTTGGTTGGGCCCAAGAGGTCGGTGCTTCGCGCGAGATCACCTATCTCGCCAAAGCAATCATGGTGTATCTTCCCGAAGATCGCCGAATGGGGACCCCTCTTCGACTGCCGGTACGAAGCCTCGAAATCACCAAGATCCCAATGTTTGCACTATGGACGAGCTTGAGCAAAGCATCTTGGTCAACAACACTCGATTACATACCGCAACTTTTCGAGAACGGCAGGGTGGACAAGCACCAAGCCGTCGCATGAAGGCAGTTCTCTCTCTCTTTGTCTTTGAGAGAGGACCGCGGCGACGGGGCTTCTTTACGTGGTCCGAGTCTTCGGGTCCTGAATGGCCAGAAACAGAAGATCTGTCGCTGTTCCCTGAGGATGGTCCTTCAGGCTGAAGATGGTCTTTGATGTCATCACCTAGAGGGTGCTGCACGGGTTTCTGCCAGTCTTCCAGCTCCCGCCACCGGTCATATAGACTTTGGAGTTCCTCTGTCCTATAAGGTTTGGTCAAGTTGGGGCGACGACTGTTTCCAGAGATGTGCTGGATCCTGGAGTGTCCTCGCATAGGCTGGTGACAGGGAATGCGAAGGAGGTTGCTAGTGTCTTGGTTCATCCAGAAATTCATATCTTTGCGTTATCTGAACAGCGTTTCGCGAAATACCGTAGGAGGATTCAAGGTGCCAGGTCAGTTGTTGGAACAGGAGGATGGGGTTGAACCGCATAAAAAGCATCTCCTTGGAAAGTCGGCTGTTCAAGCAAGCACAAGGCATAATGCCCGATGAGTGCCCCCATTTGCGATAGGGCTTCCGGAGCCTCATTGTGATGGCTGTTGACTGAAACCTGAGGCAAATGGTTCGCGGACCACTACTCCTCGCCATGACCTGTAGAGCAAGCGGATTGGCAGCTGTTGGCAGCGGCCGCGAAAATTCATGATTTTCAATGGATAAAGCGTCTTTTAGAAACGAGAGCGGTTGAACAATCAGTGTGCTCGTATCGGCTCAGGTGCAAGAGAAATCTTTCGCTCCAATTCACCGTCGGGATGTTGATCGCGAAGGTCTCGTCATGCCCAGCAAGTCTTCTGCATGTCTACTCCACGCACCACCGTTCGCCTTGGAGAACCCGGGCAATGCTGACTGGGCTGCATTGCTTCCAGAAGGCATCCGTTTGGTAGCAGGAGCCTGGACAGCGGTGACGATGCGGGTTGGTACAGCTGGGTCCAATCGAACTATGGGTTGGGGTGGCAGCCCAGCTGCATCTTCTTTCCTCGCTGCTTTTTTGCCTCGGGTTGCTGGATTGATGAGGCGTGGTGGTTGTTTGCCTTGTGACTTGTCGCTCACGCTGCGTTGCACTTCAGACTGCGCCACGCATTTAACAGTGGTTGATTGGGGTGTCAGATCCTGGGCCCCGTTCATGTGCAACTGTGTCACTTCCGCATCGCCCGTTTGTACAGTCTTTTCAGCCTCCGTTTGCCCAAAGGGTCCGTTTGGCATCGTCGTGAAAACTGACGGTGGAAAGTCATCTGTAGGCAGCGTGAAACCAATAATTTCCTTGCTCCTAACGCTTTTTCGCGCCATCTTTGTGATTCGAGGGCCCGGCTTGGGCTTTGGGTCTGGTTTTGGGTCGGGATCGCCGTCAGCCATGCCATCATGCGTTGAGGATGGAGTGTCAACTGTGATGGCTTCCTCCTCATCGCTCGACACGGGTTGGGCAGGTTTGGCCCTGCTGCGACGAGTAGGATTCGTTCGTCGCCGCATGGGAGGCGGTGACATGTCGTCCTCGGGGCTGTTGACCGACGCAGCATCACTATTGTTTGCTGCTTCATCTGCATCTGCATCTGCATCTTCGTCCAACGTGCGTGACTCTTTCTCCGGGCTCGGCACGACGACGGCAGGGTGGTTATTGCTGTTCAATAAGTCGTCAAGATCTGGGGTATCGGTATGCGATGCGTCTGAAGAGATCGAGCTCCGCCGACTACCTGCGTCGCCCGACAAATTGTGGTGCATGACACGGCTGTGTGCAACACTAGGCTCCTCATCAACAGAAGGTGAAGGGGAGTCGATTGGTGGTCTCCTCTGCGCTTCGATGGTCGTCTCTGCTGCAGGGCGCATGCAGGTTCTCGCGACGCGGTCTCGATCTTTCTTTTCAGATACCATTAGCAGGCCTCGCCGTTGTCTTGACCTGATTCGTAGTTCTGTTCTTGGTTCTTTGGCCGGCACAGGGAGATCATCCGCGTGATTGCGGGGAGCTGCAGCCGTCTCTGCACTCAAAGCTCGTTTTGTACCCCGGACACTAGAAGCCTTGTTCGTTGGCTCCTTCGTTGGTCGTTTGGACGTTGTGCGTTCGGCTCTTGTTGGAACCAGGTTGGGAAGGGGTGCTTTTTCAGGTCCATCATCGCTGTGAGTGCGATTCTGGGCTGAAAAAACCGCATCCGTTTCAGAATCCCGTGGTGGTGGCGATCGTGATCTCAATGGTTGTGCCAGGGCATCGTGACCTGCAGAGTTCTCTTCGCTTTGCTGAAGCCAGCTTTCAAATGCTTCGTCCTGGGCCGTAACTGGCTCCACAGAGTCTTCAGCTAGTTCTGAAGCCCTGACATCCTTCGGTGGTGATGAAGGAGACCCTGATGGTTGCCTCAAACGCTTTTTCCGGTTGCGCTCATTGGTTAGGGGCTCGACAGCCTGGCTTTCGCGGTTCTTAGGCTGGGCGGGCGCGGGAGCTGGAACAGAGGCCACCACATCCTTCAGTGGTAAGGGGCGGGACCTCGATGCTTGACCCGGGCCCTTGTGGCCTTGGTGGCTGGCCTCTTTTTGCCTAGACTTGTCGTGGTTGAAGTTTTGCTCGTTCCCTGCTAGTAACTCTCTGAGAGATGCCCGTTGAGGGAGCGTGCGACGAGGAGCTATCTGACGGGGGGCAGGATCGGCATCCACCTTCGCCGCGTTGTCTGGAGGGGGTGGTGATTTGGAGCTTCTGCGACCACGGTCGACTGTGCCCGGTGGCCTTGTCCTGGCGGTGATTTGTGCAGTCTTGGGGGCTTCGTTTGTCCTCTCTCGTAGGGCTTGATTTTGAACTGAAGGCGCTGAGGATGTGTAGGGCGTGAGTGTCAAAGTCGCCCCAAAAAGACTACGAGCATGCCCCAGCTTATTCGGGGGTGACTCCTCACGTCTCCTTCTTTTTGATGGCCGCGCATCCTCGGAAGGCGAATCCTGCCGCTGCCCAGGGCTGATGGCCATTTTGCGAGCCTCGTAGGGCGAGTGAGGAGAGATGACTGCTCTCCCGATCCTCGAGGCTCCCCCAACAAGGTCTGTAAGCGGGCGGTGACGAAGTTGAAAGTGAGAAGACTGATCATTTCTCGGGGTTCGAGTTGAGGCGGCAGTTGATCCTGGAGTCCGAGTGCCAGCATTGGCACGGCGTCTTTCAACTTCTTTTGCTCGCTTGTCCAGCAATTCCGTTAAATCCTGCTCTCTCTGTCCAGTGCGGTCCGAGACTTGCACAATGGCAGCGCCCCGGTCCAGCTCGAACTCGTCGCCCTCGTCCAGGTCCCCTCCTTCCTGCCAGTGAGCATCTCCGATGAAGTGGCCACGGTCATCGTATACCATGATGCGTTTGTTGAAAGTGTGGTACTTGAGGACTCCATCTTGCCATCGTTTTTGCTTTCGCTTTAGGTCATGGGTGAAGAGGCAAATGAAGTCCACCACGAGAGCCGACGTCGGTACCGAATTTGAAGTCATGACCAGGGAGGATGAGCTAGCCACAGCGTAGATGCGTCGAAACAGAATATACTTGTTGCATTTCGAAAATAGGACAAGGAACCCTACAATTCGAAAGGCCGTACAAGCAGGCGACGGCCTCAAAGGTCCTTTGCGATTGAACTAACACGATAAGTTCAAGGAGGGACGCGTTGATCCGCAACTCACAGGCACCTGACGCGACGCCAGATCACGTGGTCGGAATCACTCCACTTTAACCAGGCTCCCCTCCAGAGCGGCTTCTGCCTGGCAAGAACCGTGCAACTACCCTAAACTAGATGGACGAGGAGACAATTGGGCTTTTTTTTTCCCCTTGGACGTCAGGATGGATATTATGAGAAGCCTCTAAGTTATGAGGACCCTCTAGATATATATTACAGGCTTCGGCGGGTTCTGGAAAGCTGTTTTGTGTTGGCATTTGCGCTTGGGAACGATGGAGCGACAAGAACTTCCAGAATAGCGGCGTATCGGCGATGGATCTCTCAAATCGCTCCGATCCCGCGCCTTGTGTGTTTAGACTTTCATCGTGCATTAGCCTAGCCGTATAGAAGACAACCACTTTCTATACATGGCGTATTAATTGCAGGGGAAGGACAGGGTTGTCACACGGATGTTGGTGGATGAAGAGTGGTTTGTGATCACGTATAGTGCTGTGTGCAAGGGACAAAGGAACTTAGTATTCTATGGGTATCATGTCTTTAAAAAAAGACGTGTGTGGTACCTAATTGTACCGGATGCAACTTGAATAAAACGCTGATATGCCGTCCCGTCCATGATAGCAAGCTATTATCTGAGGCTTGCTTCCAACCAACGCCATGAATGGGATAATGTCAAATTTGAGAACCCCCGCGAAATTCTTCCACAGTCTGCTCCTTTGCTCTCCTCTCCAAAAAACCTAGAAAATCCTGCGTAAAATGTTTTGAAAATGTTAATGCACCCAACCACAGCCCCAAGCAGGATACTGTCCCTTAGCGGGACATGTAATCACCACCAAGAGATTCAAGGTCCATTGGTGTCACTGGTCCTGGACTACCAAGGGGAGCCAGTCTAGGAGATCGGGGCTTGAGCGGAGTAGGTGTAATGAACCGCGACTCCCGAAGAGGAAGAGAGCTCAGCGAGACACCGGCATCAAGTTTGTGGTCGGACTTGGCCGAGCTGCTAATGAGCTCACTGGCAGCCATGCTGGCTTGAGCAATCATATCTCTCTGGTATTGTTGCAACTTGCGACGGAGTTCCGTCTCATGCATCGACTGATTGGTCGAGCGGGGAGTTGCATGAGAATCAGGCCCGATGTCAGACGAAAGGGTGCCTGTCAAACCAGGACGCAGGTTCGTCTGACTTCCGTTTCTGTTCTCATAGTTGGAAGGATAGTACTTCCCCATAGGCAGGGGGCTATCATGGAAGCCGGGGGCCAGGTAGGACGCAACAGGCGTGTTTGATTGAATCATAGAGGCGTTCTGGGCGGGGTGTGAGGTTGGACGGTCGGCGTAGACTGGTCCGGACTCTGAGATGAGGCGGCTCATTCTGGTGTCTGGGTGATGCTGAAATGGGTGTGGGCGATGTATGCGGCTGTTGGGGTCTTCGTGAAGTGGGAAATAACCTCTGCACTCAACTGGTTAGGAGTTGTTCAGGCCAACAGGCTTGCTAGACTTACCCAGGAAGGTCACCTCGTGCTGAGAGAGGCTCAGGTGGAGTGCGCGCGGGAGCAGTGCTGAATCGCTTGAGTTGGGGCAGCTCAATGGCTATGGGTCGAGCACGGCTGCGACTGCGTGGAGTAGAAGAACCAGATGGGGTGCCAGGGATCGATCGATCATTATCATCTGGGGTGAGGATGGATGTGAGTATAAGAACTTGGACAAGACGAATTGATGATGAAAGGCCGAGAGGGGTTAGTGACGGAGAGGTTAAAAAACAGGAAAATGAGGCATATGATGGGATATAAGAGGCTTTATTAGGGCAGGGCCTTAACCAACATCCATGACAGGGCGAGCGTCACTTAAACGGCCGGCCCCAAGAAGATGGGGCCGCTACCCCGCGATGACTGGAGTCTTGGGTGTGGGGGAGAGGCACGCGTAGCGCGATGCACGACAATCTGCCCGGACCTGGTTGACCGGGAGGTCCGGCCCGAAAGAGGTTGGGAAACGTGTTGCGAGAGGGGTAAAAAAGTGAAGGCTGAGGATAATGGGAGTGGTAGGACATGAGAGAAAACAGCTGCCAAAATGAGCCAGCAACGGGCATTTGAAGCATGGCGAATTGAAATGGGCATGGGAATCTCAACAATGGGGGTGCGGGAGGCTCCCGAGACCTCTCATCCGGCCCCGCGCTGTGCGCCAGTCATTTCCAAATGGCACCATTGGCTGCTCTGAGACCGGAGGTTGCGCTGACGGACATGTGGATGCATCGCAGCGTGGGACTCAGCGTGGCGGCGGCTCTTAATTGCTGGAGCTCCTCAATCAACCCCGTCCTCGTACATGTCGCATTGGCCGCGAGTTGGGTAATGGTGTACAGTGTGCAGTTTGTGCCATGTGTCAGGGGTTTCTTGGTTCCTCTGAGGGTGCTTTTGTGGCGTTGGACCGGGTTGGTGAAGAATTGACGCCGTGTCTCTGGTTTCGGAGGTTTTTGTGACGACCCCGGAGCCAGCGACTGTCCGTCTTCGGATTTGTCACTCGAGCATGGTCCCCGATGATCATCATGTTGATAGGAGGGATACATGAGCACTCACTTGAGAGCAGGTGATGGGAGATCAATGGGGGAGAGGTGGGGTACATGGGCAATCATGGGATGGTCGGAGCACCCAAACAAGGCTATCCGCAGTCTTTCATTCCAGAAGTGTGGAGGGCTCACCTTGAAAACGGGCATTGTAGGCACGGATATCGTCTCCGTCAATGTAGCCCTCTCGGCCGAGGGCAGATCTCGAGTGCGGGAACGTCGGGGTGTTGCGTCCGGACAATACCAGGTCGCCGAGGTCGTCAGATCGTGGACTGTTGGGAGAGGAGGTGATGGAAAGGTCGGAGTTGGTGGTCATGGTTCGCCCAGGCATCGAGGGTCGCAGCCTGGGCGACAGGTAAGGGGACTTGATGGAACGGGCGAGGCTGGCCATGGTGTCGTCGTCGTTTGTTGATGTCTGAGGCTTGTATCTCTGATGAGGTGCTGCCTGGCTGATTAAACAGCCCGAGTCGTGAATCAAGCGCCAGCGTCGTTGCATGAATGAGGGGAGCGGGTTGTTCGAGAAGAAGAGGAGGCCGAGTGACAGGAATGAAGTTGAGAAGGGTAGGGCGGCACTCGGAGGCTGATTATGTGCAGTGAGGGGCAGGTCCTGTCGCAGATGAATGGATGGCGAAGCGAAGTGCAGCGCAGCGCAGCGCAGCAACTTTGTATCAAGGAGAGGCCGCGGAGTCGCTTGCGATAAGTCAGATGGCGACTGGAATTGCCAAGAAGAGCTGGATAAGCAGACGAAGAGAGGTAGACGCCCGAAGAGTGGGTTGTTAAGAGAGGCAACAGAGGTGCTGAGGAGAGAAATAGTGAAGGGGTCCGAAACGGTTTTGTTAATAACCCGGCGTCAACTTAGGACTCTCTGTCAGGACTGATCTTCCCGTTCCATCCCATCCTCCAAAAAGTGGGAATCTTGGACAGCCTCCGCTAATGATATCGGGGGGAACCAGGACGAAGCACGAAGGTACCCGACGGGACGGGGTGAGATTGATTGTCAAGGGCAGGGGAGCGAGGTGGACCTCTGCGGCGGGTTTCTTTGACCTTTTGGTTGCTTCGGGCCCCGCTTTTAGGTACCTCGTCAGGCTCGCAACTTGATCGAGGGGGGGTTTGGCATGTAGCATTATGTGCTCGTGGGGGGTTTATCCTGGCGAATAACGACAGATCTGTACCTTGCCTCGTGCGTCCGTATCTGTACAGTTGGCGAGCAGATACCTGTGGGACGACCCTGCAGGCTCCCACTGCGACCAACAGCAAACAAAAAGACCGGCGTTTGTTGAGCGTCGGCGAGATACAGGATGATTGTCTAGACGAGACTCAGAGAGGCATTCGACTGCGAATCAAAATAGACAAACGAAGGCTCAGCAGAAGGGAATACGAGTCAACCAAATGACTCTACTGCTTGCTAGTGCTATTCCATGAGAGCACACGACCCTTCAAGATAATCCTCCGCAGGGCCAGTGGTGTCAGACCCTCAATGACGAAGTCTGCGGCTAAGTGTCCGGCTCCGCCGTCGCCTCTGTGCCTTGATGCTATCGTCATGTGGAGCGAAAAGACAAGGCCATCACACAAAAACCCCTCCAAGGCTAAGAAAAATCGAGAAAAAAAAATTATGCTAAAAGAAAAAAAATGTGGCAGGCCCCCCTGTGGATGCAATCAAGCAAGCCTCGTTCTCGTTTTGCTGAGGAATTCTCATTCTAAGAAATTCGTAATCTCAGCTTTTCGTATCGCCTCTTTTTTTTTTAGACCACAACTTCCCACAAAGAGGGCTTCTAACAAAACCCAACACGGGCGGTCAAGGTCTCGACTCTTCTCATTAGCACCACGTGCATTCTCTCGTGGTTCTAACTTATGCTTCCAAAGGTGATGATCAGCATGAGAAACTCTGGCCCAACACGCCTCTGTCCCTCTCCGCCGGAATGAACAGAGCGAATATCTTGGCCCTGGCACCGAAAACAAACGGGATTTAACAGCAATCCACTCTCTGGTCCGCTCGCCGGTATCTGATCGACGTCATGGCGTCGACAAGGACAATGAGACCCACATCGCTTCTTCGCAAGCACCGCTCCTTTTGTTGCCAATGGAGAGTCGTCGTCCTCTCAGGCCCTCGTCGGGCACAATATGCCACGGATGGAACAAGGCTACCAAGGCCGGACTGGTAGGGCCAGCCAGTCAAGGACCCGGACCCTTGAAACGACCCTTCTCCCTCGCTTCAAATCCGTCATCGTCACCTTACCACTCAGAGTCTTGGTTTGGGGGCAAACTTGTCCGTGATCGACATTGCCCCCTCTGACTCTCCCCTTCGGATGTCACACACTGCGCCTCGGTGGTGCGATATCGACGTCGTGTCTGCATTGCCTTCTATTTGTCTCACATTTTACGCGCGCGGGGCAGATCACAGTATCACGGTTCTTTACCTGGAACGGCGCTTGTGTGACCGTTTGCTCTGTAGTACGCCGTGGTAGATAACAAACGGCCGTGATAATTTCACAAACAACGAGTAACAATGGCCCTCAACCGATGACTGGTAGCACAGGTTTCATCACAACGGGCCGGTCAACTCTGGACACCCCCTTGGCAAACTGTTGATCAACCTTGACGGGAGGCTGCCGCGGGAGGTTGCCGTAGTCAACTGCAACATGCTCAATTCGGTAGATAACTGTGCGATTAAGTTTGATACGAGTAAACCAGGAACATAACAAGTCTCGCTCGTTGTACGGGTAAATGAAACGGGGCGAACGAGGGTATTGATTCCAAGCCAGTGGTTGAACGGTCCAGCAGCCCGCCGGCGGGCTTCCCAAGTAGCCGTCATGAGTTGTCCTGCTCATCACGTCACAACCTGCCATTATATCGATGTCGGTTCCATCATTCCTCCTCTTGAAAGCCAATTCGTCGAGCAGATTATGCTCAAACGTGGGCACGACCAGTAAAGCGCGATCGCGTGTCGCGGTGCTTCCACCAATATCCAAGGGCGGCCAGAGTCGCAATGAGCCACAGTAGGGCGCTGGCCAAGTCAACCCACACAGCGTTCTTCATGCGCTGGACGTCGCTATCGCCCTCGGCATCCTCACTGATGTACATCTGCACGCGTGTCACACTCGAGTCAGCCGATGATCCATCAAATGCCGCCGTTGATCGTCGGCACTAAGCACATGAGAGAGAGAGGCATACCTTTCCAAAGACACCAAAGAGGGCGATCCAGAGGATGAAGAGGATAAAGTCCCATATCGCAACGACAACTCCCGCGATACGTAGGATGAAGGGGACAAAGTAGACAACACATGTGACCGCTGAGATACTACCGACGACCACAGCGTAGACCTACTCTAGTCAGCGATTTGCGCCTGGGCGTACAGCCTGCAGCCAGCCGAGGTTCACTCACCCATTTCGAGTCTGAGTATTTGTGTTGTTGGTTGGCGCGATGGAGGTCGGTGCCGTATAGACCACATGTGGTCAGGGCGAGCGCGAAGCAGCACAGATGAAGGGCCGAAAAAAGCACATAGCTTACAGCCAAGTCTTTGATGCCCATTGTTATGCCGTGTCTTCCTTGGCCGTGTTATTATGAGTGGGGTTTGCGTGCACCACAGAGGGGAAGCTCGTTGTCAAGAGGAGGAGGCTATCTTCGGGTCGCAGCGGGGCAGCGCAGCGATTCACGGAAGGTGGGTTGGGTTGTAGGAGCGTCAAACTGGCGGTGATGGTGTCGGGTCGGATCAGGTCAGTCTTGAGGAAGCTTGTGAAGGCGCGCCACTGTTAGCTTTATGATGGCGACTGAACAGAAAGATGCGCAGAGATAACTCGTACCTTGGCAATCTGGGGGTTCAATTAATACGTAGGTTAAAAGAGTCTATGGAGTCATTCTGGGCGACTAGGGCAGCCAGGTCATCTAAATCAACAAAAGTTGTGACGGTCCTTGGAAATTGTTGTGAATCAACAGCTGAGAACGATGACGTAGTGGTGGGGCGAGCTTGTTTTAGCCAGACCAATGACCCCTGACCCCAAGCAACCTTGATTCTGAAGCTGGACCGGATTATTCTATTTCCGCACTATCTCATCCCTTCATTGCCTCCCCCGCTCCCATGACTTGTTCGGAGCAACTCAACAGTACTGCTGATATGACAGCATTGGCTCAATGAAAGCACCAAAACTCTTGGTAAACTCGTCCCTCCAGGCTTCAACCCTCTGGCCCGTCATGTCGTTTCCATACAAGATCCCTCGACGAAACATGACAACTTTTTTGCATCGTCCCGGTGCCGTCCGCTGGTCAATTTCAGCACTGTCATACTTGAATTAGTGAATGAATCAAGCAGCATGTGGGTTGAGCATACATCTCAATGTTTTGGGGTGAAAGCGTCGTCCGGAAATCATGGTCCTTGAGCCATTCCTCGTCTTTGTGCCCCACTGCCACTTCGGCAACCCAACTTCGAGAGTGTAATGGTTTCTCTTGCAAAGGCTCCGGTGTGGAGAATGCGAGGTATCGCATCCAGAAGCTCTCCTTCTGGGAAATTTCCTTCTTACATCAACTATGTCATATTTTGAGTTCCAGTTGATTGTGCTCCAGCAGATTTCTTTATCTCGAAGCTGAGCAGGCAGATCTTTGGCAAGAATTTTGATGTTGCATCTGATATTGGAGGTAGGCTGGTCGGGATCACTGAGGACTCTGATGAAGATTGCCCACGCCCACTGTTGGGTCCAATCTTGATCAGGATGAATCACATGCTTCCTCTCTCCGGGATGCAGTGATGTCATCTGGTTGCGGGAAGCTCTCTCTCTGAAAAGGAGACCAAAATCTCTTCGAAAGCTAGGCTCATATGGCCACACTCCCAATAACCCTGGATTGCAGTACTTGGCGGAGAAATGCGGCTTTGACCAATCGATGCAGTAGTCTACTCTTTTGCCAGCAATGGTCGGTGGGCCGCTTGCAACCATGTCGCTGGAATCTGATGCGATTATCTTTTCAGGTGCGCTTGGAGAATCATCGTCGTAGGGTGGAGGGTCCTCTTGGGACTTCTCGGGAGATGATGCTTGGTCACGTCTGAACCAGTTCATTTTTCAGATTGATGTTTAGCCAAGGACTCCCCAGATTCAGGAGCTAATGGGGGATTTTATAGTTGACTTGAAGCTTAAATAGAAGCCAGATCTCGTCCATGCAATATCTACTTTGATGAGAACGTGCATAAAAGTCATGGGGTTGATGTGAGATGAAACCTAGAGGAAGCACATCGCCGACCGTGGCCGCTACGCCAAGCCAGGGGCTTAAAATAAACTAAAATAAATTTGGAGAAATAAACTCAAGACACACCCAAAAGACGTAAAGATGCCGCAATCACCTTGACCCAAAGAACCTGGACACCTCCGCAAATGCACGAATCGACATGGTCGTCAATTTAGAGATCCATGGGTCCAGTCTTGGTGGTGTTGAGGCTAAGACATTCGACCCACGCAGCATCCATCCAGTTGTGCAGAGAAAGCTTCTAGAAAACGCGCAGGGCTGCACAAAGTGAAGCAAAGGTGCTGGGTTTAAGTGCATCTCGTCCTCTTCATTTGCTCGTTTCATAGCTGCCTGGATGCCCAGGGATGCACGCCGAGCACCGCCACACATCATCTCGTGTCAGTTGCCCAGCCTGCCCATGCGGCTCTGCGGAGGGAGGTGGTCACGGGGCAAAGCAGCAGCACCTTTGTGGCTACTCACTTGATTTCAAGGAATTGGCCCAAAACAGGGCTTGTGATGAACCTTTCAAAGTTAATTTCACAAGGCTCACTGGCTTATTAGCCGTGAGAGCACAAGTGTGCCCAGTCTGAACGCTAAACAAGACGTCAGCAGTTCTAGGCTGCTGTCAACTAAACTAGTTCGACTCCACTAGAGCTCGTTGCCTTCTTGACACTGCGAAACTCAGCGCCAAAACATGAGGAAGCTAGCCGGTGTACTTTCATAAAAACAGAGGCTTAGCATTTGTGCCTTGTAGTCATTGTACAAGGCTTTCTGTAGGTAATTAGGAATATCACCTGTGATTGTGCGCAAATTGAAGTGGGCTCTCTCCCACCTCTGTGGATATTGACCCCTTGGACAACTGTGATCGAGATGGCGATAGGAGGCACTGTGAGTGCCTGGGAGGCTCATATGGCTGCGCTCACCGAGATAGCACTGCCGGGGCATTTCAGTTGTGATACTTTCACTTGGATATCCCGGGGCAGAGCAAAACCAGTGTGAAATGTCGAGGCCTCTTGGATCGAGTATATATCTGGATGTCTGGCCAAGGACTTTAAGGAAGACACAAACAAACAAGCTTCATTACAAAGACACTCATCAATATCAACATCACCACCGCAAACATTGACTTCTTCTTGCTCTTCGTCAAGATGGCTTACACCCACTGGTATGTTTCTTGGATAACGCTCTGCTTCAGCCCCTAACATTCAACAGCAACGACAGCAACTCTACCGAGAGCCACCGTCGACCTGTCAACTTGGCTAACACGCCGCGAGTATGGCAATGCGTATGTTGGACCAAATATGCTACTTCTTTTGATGCTGAGATGCTAATTATGGACCAGTGCAACTGCAACGGGGGCTGGTTCAGCATGTTCACTGACCCGGTTTGCCATTCGTGTCAAGTTCGACGCTGTTCCCGTTGCCACTACGCTGCAGCCTGATCAGCGGAAGCCGGATCTAAAAGATCGTCCGGTCTTTACCGCCGGGGGAATGATGCCCTTTCCTTTGTCTAGACTGCGTTGGATTTGGGGAGGATTGGTGGATTAGATGCTATGGGAGCACTCGCTTGGGATGTAACAATATTTCTTATCTTCACTAGAGAGCTGGCACTCACGTGCGGGATAGATAAAATTCATTCTTTTTTTGTAACTGTCTCGATCTTTGCCACTTCAGCCATATTACTATTACTATTGTCAAGTGTCAGCACCAGCTGCCTATGGCCAACGTGGTACAGTATCGGAGCAACTCTTACATTAGGGCCAAGGTATCTAACCCAATAGAGTCTCGACTTTCCATTCCTCCCATTTGCATCATAGGTGATATAGTTCCTCTCTTGAACGTAGTTTTCCATAACAAGGATCCCCTCGGGTTCGTACCCTCTCAATTCCCATGCCTCGGCACGAGTTGTCATGCCCCACTCTTCCGACCGCAACTTGACATCCACATCCATCATCACGGCCCGTAACACATGAAACCATTAAAAAAACATCTCGGGATCTAAAGTGATATAGCTACATATCGTCTAGTTTCCTCTTGTCCATAAGCCAAGCCCATATCAGCCATGTCCGATCTCGGCCCCCCTTTCCACCACATCCCCGGCCTCCCCAACTTCCGGGACCTCGGAGGTCATCCGATCCCCATCGCCTCCCGACCGGGCTACACCATCAGGCCCGGCGTCGTCTTCCGCTCCGCTGATCCATCCGGAGTCACCGATGAGGGCGTCTCGCATCTCCAGGACCTCAAGATCTCGCACGTCTATGACCTGCGCTCCAAGCCAGAGATTGAGCGCTACTCCTCGGCAATTCGGGAGTGGCCCGGTGCTGAACGCGTCTTCGTCCCCGTCTTTATGGACGATGACTACAGTCCGGAGGCTATCGCCCTACGCTATCAGAACTACACCGCCGAGGGACATGAGGGATTCACGGAAGCTTATCGGTCCATTTGGGAGTCGGGCATTGGACCTATCAAGACGATCCTCTCTCACCTAGCCAAGCCGGACCCCTCTCCGTTACTCGTCCACTGCACGGCGGGCAAAGACAGAACAGGTGTTGTCTGCGCATTTGTCTTGTCCATCTGCGGCGTCGATGACGAGACCATCGCTCGCGAGTATAGTCTCACGGAGGCCGGGCTGGGCGACTTTAGGGAACAGCTTCTCAGCGCGGTGATGAAGAGCCCCGAGCTTCAAGGCAACCCGGAGGGCGCCAAGCGCATGCTTGGTGCGAAGCCAGAGAACATGCTTGGAGCTCTAAAGGCCATGCGCGAACAGCATGGCTCCGTAGAACAATATGTCGTTGAGAAATGTGGCCTCTCGCAGGAAGAGGTTGAGCAGATTAGGAAGAACTTGATCGTGCCGAGCACGAGTACGTGAGAGGCACACAAAAGCAGAGGGGGATGAAAATCGAGGTCAGTCGTTAGCATAAATAGAATATCGTGCTCTCATAGCACATCATCCATGTCTAATTAGTTCATGACTTTATACATGGCGTTGGTATTCTTATAGTACAGTTGCGCCGCTGGCCAAGTAAGGCGATCCCCCATATCCCATCACACATACGACATACATAGTAATACACTTCAAGGAACAGATGTGGGAATCTTGACCAATCCGCGCTTGCGGTCCTCGTGCGGCGCACCGTACCGCCAGCCGGTTCCTCTCCTCGACCGGCCGTCACGTCCAACATCGTCAACGTTGACCTCCTTGAACCGGAACTCGTACCGGTCAGTCTTTACCCTCCTCGTCCGTGACTCCTCACGCTGGCGCTGCTCCATAATCTTCTGGGCAACCTTGTCCTCCTCTGCCTGTGTGGCCTCCTGGAACTTCTTCAGGCTCTCCTCACGGTCAGCACCCTCAAACACTTCCCGCTCCATGTCAATCAGCTCAGGCTGAGGCGATCGCTTGTCAGCTGAGAGCATCTTGTCATGGAAGGCCTTTGCGGCGTCTTCTCGGGTAAAGTGTCGGGATTCGGAAACGGGTTGGAAGAGTTGTTGCATGGTGAGGTTGTGGACGTGGATCTCGTTAATGGGTTCGTGAGGCTCGTTCTCCTCGCCTTCTCGGAAGGAGGTCTTGGGGAGCATCTTCATGACAGCCTTGGCGTAGGGAGTAGCTAGTTCCTTGCCCTTTTGAGTGTGTTAGCTTGATGCCAAATCAAGGAGTGCGATACAAGCGAGGTATTAGTGTTGCTATCAGGATATACAAGTGTCTAACCATTGGAATGTCTTCAAGACTAATCGAAAAATTTTGTGTAGTCTCATCACAGCAAGCAAAACGAAATCAGAAAAAAAGCACTCACATCTGTCACCCATTGCTTCTCCACCTCCTTCAACCGCACCACGGCAGCAACTCTCCTCACGTCGACGTGCATCTCAGCAGACACAGCCTTGAGCGACTCTCCCCGACGCACCACCTTGTCGTAGATGAGCTCCCGAGTCGAATCGTCCAACACAGGCTGACTCCGGAAGAGAGGGTTGAGGGGAAAAGGTTGGTCTTGGTAGGGACCGAGGTAGTTGGGAGAGCCATTCGATTCCGCCAGGTTCCTGCCGTTGGTCGAGTTGAGCCACTCAAACATCATCATGCGGCCCTTGCTCATCTTCTCGCGGCATGGTGTCGTCGAAAAGGTCCGGACAAATGGCGCGGCGGTCCTCGAGGAGAGAGAGGCGGCGGCATCGAGGCCAGCCAGCGGCACCGACGCGCCGCATAATCTGGGAGGCATGACTATAGCGGCTTCGAGAAGTCTCTGACCACGAGCTGCATTACATGCGACCCGGAACCAATTGATTAGAATTGGTTGGGTGGAAGTTCAGAGAAGCTGGTTTGATTGAGGTTGGGGTGTGCATTGTCAAGCAGCAGCAATTTTTCAGGTCCACGGAATTACTAATATCCGAAATACCAGCCCACAGTGTGCCAATGGACCCACCCAATTGAGTATGCCAGGCAATGTCATCTCAACGACAAGTCTCTCTATTGTTGGATGTTGTATTGACCAAGTTATCTCACGGCTTTCAATTTTACTTCATGGAATTTCATGCTTAATAAAATTATTGATATTGAAAGAAATTGGTATTCGTGTGTATCTGTTACCTGAGCCGTCATGCAAGCGCCAACCATCACCACAACTCCCAGCTATCCAATCCTGACAACCACATAATGCAAGACATTAATCCAGACAAATCAAGGCTGAGCAAGTCATCCAGAAGAAAATCTATCCAACCAGCGTATTAGCCTGAGGTGTACATGCCTCGGTTTCCGTCCCTGTTCGGCGTATTTACTCAGGGGCTTGATAGCGAACAAGAGCAAGGCCATTAGCTCCCCTTAGAGCTCGACAGCCGATTCTTTTTGG